TGGTTGGTTGTTTTTTTTCTTTCTTTCTTTCTTTTTTTTTTTCTTTTTCCCTAATTTCTTTCATGGAAACCCATGGGAATATGGCTGTAACTTTAAATACCTTCCAGCACCACCAACTGAAATGAGGTTGGGGAACGGAGAGAATTAAAACATGTTTCAAAGAAACACGCGGGAGGAATACAAATAGGGAAAGATCGCCTGAATTCAATCTTTTGTAGGGTCTTTCAAGGAGAATAAAATAATCTCGGGAGAGGAGTGTGCCTGTAAGGGTAGCAGCTGTGTGCTTTCTCCTTCCCAGAGACCTACATGGAGGTGTAGTTCTCAGTTTCCTTCAGCTCCTCCATCCAACAGTGTTGTCTAAAACTCCTTCTTAATCTCACCAAAGAGGGAAGGAGTCCAATGGGATGCAATCCTGGAAAGTCAACTGCATGAGGGGTTGGGCATTCCTGCACCTTGCTGCTGCACAGAGCTGAGGATGCTGGGTCTGCCCAGGGGCTGCATCCCAGGTGCTGAACCATCATCCTTTATGGCTCAGAAAGGAATCTGAGTGCAAAACAACGCTGGGCGTGCCGAAAGGAAGAGATAAAACTGCTGCAGCCAGGTGTGTGTTTACAGCTCAGTCACAGCCAGCTGTGCTGACCTCTGCTTTACCCACAGCTCGCTGTCGCCTGCGTGTAAAAACCCCCTTCCTATGGAAGGTTGTAAGGCAATTGGATGTGATACGTCATGGATGGGGTGATGGATGGGATGATGGAGGGGTGTGGTAGGGATGCAGGAGAGGACATGGTGGAGGCGGTGGGGATGGAGAGGATGGAGGGCATGTGGTGGGGATGGGGATGATGGAAAGGACTCGGATGATTGGATGGTTGGAACTCGATGATCCTTCCAACCCAAGCCATTCTATGATTCTGTGTCGCTGTGTCTGCAGGAGATGAGCCTGTGGGGCTGGTTCTCCTAGCTGCAGCTTAGCAAGGGAAGAAATAGTGAAGGATTTAAAGAGAAATTAATGTTAGAAAGTGGTATTTGTGGATATAGAAGCAGAAACTACCCTGAGCAGCAAAACCCTGCTGGTTGGCTGTCTGTCTGTCTGTCTGCAGGATTCGTGCTGGCTTACAAGCAAGGGGCTGGATGTGTGCTGTTGGTCCTATTGCCCTGTAGCCTTTCATATTGGGTTTTGTGGTGTCACTCCTGCATGAGGAGTGGCAAATAGTGGGAGGGTGCTGCATTTGTGACCATATTTGATCTTTAATGTGTGTCCAGGCTGGATGATGCTCATGGGAGATCCAGTGGCCGGAGCAGAGGTGGCATGAGTCTTGCTTTCTCCTGATTTATCACAGGTATGTAGGAGTGCTTGTTTCATCAGTGATACCCTGGTGGAGACCAGGCTGCACTGTGTGCAGCTGGCATATTTGTCAGGAAGCCACCCAGCTTGGGAATGGTGGTGAGCAGATCCCATGCAACCTCAGCCAGCTGAGCAAGGGGCAGAACTCTGTATTTGTTGGGCTTCCTGCAATGCTCATTGCTCCCAGTGTATTTTTAGAGCTTCCTTGGGAAGCTCCATCCCTTCTGGAAAGCAGAACTGGGGCATAAGCCAGTGCACTTCTCTTCTGATACCAACTGTGTGATTACCCAAACTTGGTCATTTCTGTGGTGCATCCAAGGAGGTAAAAAGGAAAAGTGAAAACACTTTCCATGCAATTGGGCAAGCAAAAGCCAAATAACACCATCAGGTCCAGTCTGATTAGCTCAGGACTGGTGGCTACGTTAAATGTTGAGCAGATCCACCAGTTCACAAAAGATGATGGAAGCACGGGGCTGCCTTTGATGAGGACAGATGTCATCAAACCAGATTTCTCAGCATGCCAGCACACGTCTTGTGCAGGGCTGAGAGCTGAGGGGTTAAAAGGTGCCCTTCTCTTCTGTTTGGAATGTTTTCACTGGATAAATAATCAGAACACCACTAGCTGCCATGCAGCACACTTTGTCTGTAGGGCTCACAACCAAGGGTTAAAGCCCTGAACAAAGCTGAACGTATCAATTCTGTCTGGCAAAGCTGATTTATCAGAACTGAAACTATCCGCATTGCCCCCAGATTAAAAAGAAAATGTTTTGGCACTGCTGTGACCTAAATCTGAAGTTTTAGTTTCTGGGTAGAAACAATGCTTTATCCGGCTTGTACCAAAAAGCTGGAGAGCATTACAAAAAAAAGTCAAAATGGAAGGAAAACATCTTGAAATTATTATAGCAGAGTGTTTTGGATAATAGGCTTGTGAACGGTTTTGATGTACAAAGTTTTGCTTGAAGACAGATGCGGGAATAGCAAGATCTCATTGCCATCAGCCCCTGGAGGCCCCACCTCCCCATCCCAAACCTGGATGGGCAGATGGAGATGGGCAGCTCTGGGAATGGAAACCGAGTTTCCAAACCCCTGGCCATCTCCCCATCACCAAATAATGCCGTTTCCTTCCTTCCCTCCCATTCATGTTCTCCATACAAACTGTTCACAGCATTCTCAAAAGGGCAGATATTGCTTTACAGAAGGACGTTGAGCAAGATAACCTCCTCAGGTCCCTCCAACCTGTGATCCCTACAGCATGAGGAATACTTTGGGCTTTGTTTTCTTCCTGCAGGCACACAGAGAGCCTCTCCCCACTCATGGAAATCTCTTCAGGAGCCATGGCTGTTATTTCTGAGACTTTGATGCAGAAGAGCCATGGATGGGCAATTGGCAGGAGGTTTGTTTTTGACTTGGGAAGCGTCTGGGCTTGCCCTGTGTTTATGTCTCTGCAGTCTGACTCAAGCCCTGCTAAGCCAACAGGAAGAATCTCAGCAGCTCAACAGATACAAAGCTGCCACTCTCAAAGGGATGATCTTTTGGTAGCACATCCTTTCCCAAAACGTTTCTTCTTTCTGATCTGCCGGCGAGAACTCGCACCAAACAGCTTTTCTTTTCATGTTGATAATTCAGGCGTACACAAACACATCTCATCCTGCTGGCATTGCCCAGCTAACGCTGCACTCCGCAGCATCACCACTGCATATTTTGGCACCAGTGCTGTACCCATTGCACACAGCCTTCTCCACCTGCCAAAATGCCTTTCCTTGGGCTGTGCCGTGTCAGCCTCCGTGATGTCTCCCTCCAAATAAGATAAATGTCCAAATAAGATAAAATAGTCACCTGAATGTATCACCACTTTGAGAAGATGACTTTTCTCCTGACAAGATGAGGATAAAGCTTATAGGGAGAGGTAATACTTTTCATGAGTCAACTGATAGTAAAACCAGTAAGCTTTTGGCCATGCAAGGCTTTGCCCGGGGCATTAAGCAGAGCCCAGGGGTTAGATTTTTCCATGGATTCCTCGTGCAAAGGCACTACCAGTGCATCCATGACGTTTGCAGTCTGGAGGACAAGGAAATGCTTTCAGTAAGCCTTAACTTGCAGAACAAGGACTCCCCATGCAAAAGTGGTTGCTTGTCTCCAAAGGAATACTACTGGAGAGCTGTTTTGTGGCAAGTCAATCATCGTTACTGATCCTCATTAGATTAGAAAAATACAGGTTTTTCCTCCAGGAAAGGTTTGTAAGTGCTGGTATTTCTAACGTTAGAAATGATTGAAACGGAATGGTTTGAAACAGCGATTTTTCCTACAGCTGGAATTTAGTAGATGATGGTTTTCTCTCCCATGTCCATTGCCATTACTTATCAGAGCTCACGGTGTGATTTACACCACTCCCTTCCATCTCCTTTGCTCGCTGCTGCTCAGCCTTTACCAAACACCTGCACTGCCACCTTCTGCCTGGATTGCAGCTCACAGCCCAATTTCCAGCTTTCTTCTTAGCCTGCCGAACTCAAGGCGCGTCCCAGGAAAGTTCAGAGTGCAAAGAAGAAACATTGAGCACGGTCACAATGGTCCATCCGTTGAGTTTGCTTATAGCTGCTCTCTCTTAGGGCTGTGACTGTAATTCTTAGCTTTGGTGTAAAGGATGGGAACCCTACGGTGCTGCTCCTTGCGAGCCACAGAGCTGAAATACTTTGCTCAGACACTGTGAAGCCAACATTGGCCAACAATTAGCCACAAGCACTCGCCCGGGTTTGCTTGATGGCTTGATCGATGCAGGCAGTGTCTGAAATAAGCAAGGGGAAGGATTCAAAGCTTATGCTTAATTATTTCTTATCATTAAGTCAGGATCTCACTTCCAAGAAGCTGCCCTGATTTGTCCCCCGTCGGCTGTTTGTTTCTTGTTATCGTACGAACTGGTTGGTTCTCAGAGAGCTGGGAGATTAGAGATGATGTGCACGCATGAAAGGGCTGGCAATGTTTCACTGCCTTCTGAAGATGATTCCTCACAGCATGGCTAAGGGAAGAGTGGCCTCTGGTGCTCACCGAGATGCCTTACAGCTGCACTCCCATCTGGGTGCTCACTGGCATGGGCAGGAGGATCTGGTGGCTTTGCTCCATCTGTCTCGATGGAGAGGGATTTGCTGCTTAACAACGTGTCCTGGACCACTTTGTGAAGCAGCTTATCTACCTCAAAGCCTCTGTTAAAAACCTAAATTAAAGCCTAAATATGCCCTTGAACACCTCAGGCAGGCCTGTGTTGCAATCAATACATTATTAGAAGCACGAGCCCTCAGCCTGGTTATTCCTCCCTGCCCCACAGAAGCGATTTAGGAACCCATCGATTTAGGAACCCATCAGGCAGCTTTGCATAACGTGAAGTGTAAGGTGATGATATCCCAAGGGCTGGCTTTTGTGGGGCCGTGTGTGCTTTGGCACTGTGTCCCTGGGACCGCCAGACAACTTGTTCAAACCAAACCCTCGAGCACACGAGTTGCCTCACACTAAGGTTTATTTATTTTCTCTAAAAGCATGGCAGCCTTTCCAAAGTGCAGCTGAACTGCAGCTAAAAAAAAAAAAAAAAAAAAAAAGTCAATGGGAAATGGGTACCAAACTCCAAATCCCGTTGAAATTCAATTCAGTCCCCATCACCTTGTATGAAGGCTTTGGTCTTAGGCTGGAAAATGACCTTTACCTGCAAGTCAACCAGCAAGCTGTGTAAAGGTATGGAGAACAGCTTGCAGAAGCCCATGATCTGGAAGTAGCTCAGCCCTTTTGCTATCAGCAGCTGAAATAAATGTAGTTGCCCCAGTGGGGTCACAGAGAGTAAGAAGCCTTGGTTTCAAGCTAGGTTTTGTTTATTGAATTCAGGTTTCATCAATGTCCAGAGCTGACAAAAAATATTTCCCAGGAAGACAGACAAACAGAAACATTTCATAAATATATATATATATATCAAACTCTGTAGATATAAACAGATAAAAGCTCTATTTTGCTCTTTTGGGAGGTCCTTTGTAACCAGCATTTTCAACTGATCCATTAGCAGCAAACGTGTTAACCAGTGATGAACTTCCACTTGTTGTCAAATGAGCAAATCCAGTGTTTTCAAATTATTGCTCGCTATCAGACACAGACACACACACATACAAAAACAAAGATACAAAGGGTGTTCATTAAAAATCTTCATTAACAGCACTGACCATATACACGGATCACCAACTTTGTGGTGCTTTTTATTATTGCAGTTAAGACTTGGACGTTTGGAAATGGAGGAAGACGTTGGTGTGATCAATCCGAGGGCATTACAGGAGGAATATTTCTCAGCAGGTCCAACCACGGAGCCTTGCTGAAATGCACCTTTGTTCACAGTGCTGGACTGAGCATCCCTTGACATGAGTTCCTCCAGATGCCCATCGCTGGGGACCCGGCACCCAACAAAGCCAGGATGCTGATGTCAGTCCTGTCCTGGGAGCTGCTGGGCCAACCCACTGGGGACAAAGAATGGGACTGTTGCACAGAGAAATGTCACGAGGTTGCAGGTGAGCGAGGTATTTTTCCTTCCTGGCTGCGAGGGCTGAGGGAGGCGAAGGTCCCATGGGAGGTGACAAGGTGGACGTCCTCGCAGTGCTGTCATTAGGGACATCGTTTGCAGCTACTGGTGCAGGGTTTCCCTGTGCCTATTTGCATACCCTACACAACATACCCTACACTGTGATGGACTGAATTCCCATGCCTTCCCTGTGGGGCATCGCCAGCCCACTCCTGGGCAGGGAAACAGGGAACAGCACTACCCATGCTGCAGCCCCTTGGCACAGGAGCCTGGTCCCAAGGGAAGTTAAACCCACTGTCCCCATGCTCCTCAAGGCGTCGTGGCAGGGGTGTGCTTCTCATCCACTCTTTCCATACTGGCTCTTTTTGGGTAGACCACACTGGCCAGCTTGAAGAATTCATCCGCAGCATCCAGAGCGATCAGCCGGTCCTGCCAAAGCAATGGGATTGTACAATCACTGCCATCACATCTTTGAGCATCCTCTGGTGCAGGTCACCTCCTTGCTCCCTGAGTTTGAGCTCACTTGCAGAGTCAGAGCAAGAAGGAGGGATGCACACTAGGAGCTACTCACCACCACAAAGAGGTAACGCTCAGACAGCTCCCAGCTGGTTGGGAAGATGTTTGTCTCTTCAGAAAGCTTTAGCAGGATGTCCCGGGCTTTGCTCATGTTCTGAGAGTCGCTGACAATGCTGAGTTTGGTCACTGACAAGAGGGAGTCAGCTTCCTTCTGGAAACCTGGGGAGAAGATGTGTTAGAGAGAGGAGCCAAACATGCAGAGAGCAGTGAGTGTCCCTTTGCAGCAATAAATGCATGTGCAAGTGTTGATATAGCAGTCACCATCTCTTACAGCAAGGGTGCCAAGGGAAAGAAAAGGGGAGGAAAATGAATTAGTGTGGTGATCAGGAGATCTTTAAATGTAATTGCCACCACTGACTCTGCACTTATCACTAGGGAGCTGGCAGTGATGCACGAGCTGAATGAATGAATGAATTCCCAGCGTTCCTCCCATCCAGGTGCCAGAACAGCAGGTAGGGCAGGAGTGGCTGATTTCCCCACCTCTTTTGCTTCCAGTGACAATGCCCTGGAGCAGCTCCAAGCCCTCCTCTCATTAACCACCAGCCACCTGGAGTAGGAGGGCTGCTGTTGAGCAATTTTATTTGCTGAAAGAACATTTCGAATACGCTTTGGAGCAAATAGAGTGGGTGATTTGGCTCCAATCAGATGATAGGAGAAGGGGAGGAAAACTAGGTGTGTCTGTCTTCTCATCTGGGAGGAATATTCATTTCTCCATGCTTGTTTGCAAAAACACAGGGTGAGGTATTCTTGCAAAAGGAAACCCCAGATGGAAGACTGCGTGCCCAAGTTGCTGTGGATTTGAAGGGCTCTCCTGGACCCTCACCACCAGCCCTCCTGCTGCTGGTGGATCCCAGGCTTCTTCTCATTCAGCACCATAGAAAAGACATTGTTTTGTCCTTCATCTTACCTAAATCCTCCAAAATGTGCTTCCACCTGCTTCTCACTTCTTTCCGTGTTTGCCGTAAGGTATAAATATCGTAGTTGAGCTTCTGCCATTCCTGCAAAGCAAAGGGGTATCATGGTTATTTGCACATGAGGAGGCCTATATTGCTTTTCTGGGCATTTCAACATCTATAAACGGAGCCAGAGCTCATAATTACATTCCATGGATTATGGCAACACCTTATTTGCATAGCCTTGTGGTTAAACTGGCATTGCACCTTTTCTAATAGGTGATCATAGCCTATAGAAAGGTAAAAGTTGCTGCTGTACAAAGGTGACACACACAGTATCTTCTCCAAACTGATCTGGCACGTATGTCTTCAAAAGCACTTGGGAACAATAAAACTAGACTATTTTAGGGGTTGGGGTAGCATTTTCTAAATCATAGACTCACCAAGGTTGGTGAAGACCTCCAAGATCATCCAGTCCAATACCTACACCAGTATTTCCCCACTAGACCACATCCCTCAGTACACAGCAAGGAAGAGGGGTGCACGTGGATGCTAGATGGCCAAACTGGAACCATTTGAAATAATCACTATCCTTAGTAACTGCCAGGTCATGAAATTAATGCTTTAACGTAATATAGCTCAAATCCACAGACTTGACCTCAACCTCTGTATCTGCATAATGGGACGCTGCATGAAGGGGAAGGGCTTGAGGTTATTGTTACACTTGTACCAGTGCCATTAAAGATGCTTGTTTGTAGAAAAAGACATTTCTGCACTGGAACACAACCAGGAGTATTTCTACTACATCAATTTAACACACGTACACGCCAAGAAGGATGCATCGACAGAAGCATCCGCACAGCAGGTTGTAGCATCACTCAGATCATTTCCTCTCACTAACAGCCTCGATTAATCCCATTGCTGAGCAGCAGGCGACACAGATGTACTCCTGCAGAATGAACGGGTGCTCATCTGTGCCTCCCCCCCTGGGATCCTGCTCCCTGGGTTCGTGATGCTGATGAATACCCATAGAGACAGGCTAAGACTGCCAGCAAAAGGAGGCTGAACATGATTTCAGCCCTTGGCAAAGGAAATGGAGGAGGAAGGAGCAGGAAGGCATGTGCTGGGTGGGAGAGGCCTGGTCCTGCCCTCCCTGAAAGTCACTAATCTGAGTGGCCAGCACGCAGGGAAGCTGCTCCTGCTGCTCTCTGGATTAAGAGCAGTGTGATTTCCCATCTATTTTTGTTTTGAGGGAATCTAGGTTACAGCTTTCTCATCCATCCTGCTTACTGAGTTGTCGCTCCAAGGAGGCGAATCCAGTCCCAGAGGACCTCTAACATTGTGCTGTCCAGGAAGAATTCGGGGAGTGTGTGAAGGAACAGCCTCAGTGCAGAAAGTGATGCTTTACAGGGGTGGACAAGCAGTGTGGGAGCAGCACATTGCCCATCTCCTGTTATTTGTCACCTCACGGTGCTGCAGGGTTTTATGTTACACCACAACAGGTTTGATGATGCTGCAGGGCAGGAGCCATCCTGCAGGAAAAGAATCTTGCTCCATCTTTGCAATGTTGGCCCAAGTGTTGATAAGCTTGGATGGCAGGTTTGATCTCAAGGGTAATATTAGTGTTACCAGCCCCTTACCAGTATAAAGGAGGAAAAGGTATTGATTCCTTGGTGCCCATAATTTTATGCTATTGGCACCACTGTCAGAAAGGCTCATGATTCAGAAAATAGAAGCAGGTCAGGGAAAATGAGATGATGGATTAATGGCCATGGTGGTGCCACATGGAGACGTGGGGTGAGAGCGCTTTGAGTCCTTTCAGCATCCTAAATCCCCATGGTGAAGGTGGGGAAGGATGCAGTGAGCACACAGACGTGCAGGGGGCAGCTCTCTTTTTTGCTCCTATTTTAACTGAGATGTACAAAAAAAGGTGCTATGTCTGTGTCGTGTTTGCTGCTGACCATTCCCTGCCCTGTGGCACTGGCCCTCTCCCAGGGCCAGCAACAGCTCCCAAAGCAGATTATCCCCTTGGCACTGTTCTTCAATTAGACTTTTCTCCCTCCCTCATTAGGGGCAGCGGGCAATGCAAGCTGGCCTAGTTTTCCAATGCTCACTGGAGGACAGAGAGATTTGGGGCCGAGGGCAGGAATGTTGGCTTTCCAGGCCAAATTCCTCCTACTGCCACCCAGAAAGGGCACAGCTGGAGGCTGCAGCAGCTTGTGTGCCCTCAGCAATTCTCTCTGCACAAATAACGGGGCCTGGTGGGACACAGGAGAGCTGGGAGCACCCCAGAGCAGCATGAGTGCCTCCAATTCCCCAGCTGTAACAGCAGTGGGGCTGAGCATGAATGAAGCGGTCCTAATCAGGCTGCTGAAATCTTCTGTGCACAGAACAGTTTGGAGAAAGAAATCAGGGCTGCAAAACAGTGCTTATGTAAGAGGGATGATTTTTTTTCTCATCTGTGCCAGTTCCTCAATAATCACCATACGACCCATTAGGGGAGCACTTAATGCTGCGCTGGAGCTGCAGTACTCAGGATGCAGTGGGCATCCCCATCACAGAAACCCCCAAATACCGTCCCAAACTGAGAAATAAATGGAACTGGTGATCTTAGAGCACATCCTGATCTCCTCACCTCGGAGTCCTTGTCCAGCTGGCTCCGGCCCACAATCATGTTGTACAGCACTCGGTCGTCATCTGCCTCTGTGTGGGTCACGTCATGTGGGGTGCTCCACAGGTTCTGCTCCTCATCCCGTGCCAGCGTGGCCCCAAAGGAAGCATACGGGTTGTTGTTGCTGCAGAGAAGGGGACATGAGGCTGTGTTAACACCCAGTGTCACCTTGGCCTTCCCAAAAGACCCTTTCTGCCAGCTGAAATCTGGCACGGCCATGGGATAAAGCAGATAAAGCACACAGTGATGCTGGGGAGGGGTAAGCCTGGAAATGGGGTGGCTGGGAACAATCACAGCCATGTGATGGACCCAAATAGCTGGCCCCATCCATCTGGCATGGGAGGGAGCAGATGGAGCCAGCACTTCCCCAGTGCTGCCCCATGATGGGGTGGAAACTGAAATGCAGGAAACTGAATCTAAGAAAGAAGTGTGCTACAGAAGGTTGAACGTTGTCATGGGTTACTCAGAGAGGTTGCGGGGTCTCCTACCATGGAGGTGCTCAAAATCCAATGGAACCTGTCCTGGGCACCCTGCTCCTGGTCTGACTATGCATCAGATGGGAACACCTGGATGGGAACACTTGGAGACCTTAAGGAAAGCCTGGGTTTGTCCTCTCAGTATCTAAAGAGGGGCTTCAGCATCTAAAGGGGGGCTATAAGAAAGAAGGACACAGTCTCTTTAGCAGGGTCTGCTGTGATTGAACAAGGGGAAATGGTTTCAAAGTAAAGGAGGGGAGATTTAGATTGGATATAAGTTTTTTATAATATGGGTGGTGAGGCACTGGCACAGGTTGCCCAGAGAGGTGGTGGATGCCCCATCCTGGAAACACCTAAGGTCAGGCTGGATGGGGCTCTGAGCACCTGATGGAGCTGTAGGTGTCCCTGTTCAGTGCAGGGGAGTTGGACCAGGTGGCCTCTAAGGGTCCCTTCCAACTCAAATGATTCTATGAATGGGGAGCAGACAAAGCATCACCTCCTGAGCATCATCCCCTCCTGTGGTGGTGAGGAGCTCTTCTGTGCCCTGTGCTTATGGCTGGGTGCTGTGAGTGGGAAGTGCAAAGCTTTTATGGGGTTGTTTCCTCCTGCAGGGAGAACTTCAGGCAGAGTACTTCCATCAGGCCCCCACGTTTCTAACCAAGACGTTGAAGAAAAACATCACAAATGGGGAAAAATTTTACCCCTCACACAGTGGTACCAGCAGATGTCCTTGGGATTTCACAGAACCACAGATTTGTAGGGGCTGGAAGGGACCTCTAGAGATCGAGTCCAACCTCCCTTTCTGCTCACTTTGCTAGAACAACCCCTGCTGATTCAATTTGCTATCCAAACCCCATTCCTTCCTCTAGGAATCCATCCATCCAACCTTGGTCACACTGCAGTGCTTTATCCCCGATGTCATGGCAGTACAAAGGGTGCTAAGGGGAGCTCCAGCATGTGGATAAACCCCTAAAAGTGGCTCCCTAATTAGACTTCCAGCAACCCAAAAACCTGAGCGACAGGTAACGAGGGGAAGATAATCTCTCTCCCAATCTCTCATTAAAGCCAAGGGAACAGGCAGGTTGCAGGACACAGATGACACTGCTCAGCTCTCCCAAAACATCTCCAGGTGTCCCGAGCAAGTGGGGAACTCCTGGGACACCAGAGACCCCCGTACTAAAGGGTTCTCTGTGGGGTTCTCACCTTGCACAGCCTATGGGGAGTTGTTCCATGTGAGCTCATCACCATCCTCCTGCTTCCTCCCACTCACTGACCCACCCTGCTCACTGTAAGATCTTCTGGCAGTAACACTAACACACCTTGGCTTTGCGAGCCACTCCCTTGTGTCTTGCAAGGTGATTCCCAAGGAAGGGGCACAGCAAACCCCAACAAACATGGGGAGCGACAGCGGGAAGCGTGTCAGCCCAGAGCTGCCAGCAGGGCTGAGCATCACTAAAATGAGGGAATATGGGGAAAAAGCAGCACAGGAAGGGCCACCTGCCCATCTCGTGTCACTTGCAGCAGTTTCCATGAGACCAGAGGTATCTTGGACCAGCTTCAATTTGCTCTTTATCCAAAAGCATCAACACTTCATGAACAAATTTCTGCTCTGGGCTGCTTTTAGCCCAGTTTAATAAATCCCAAGACTCAGAACCCAAATTCTCAGTTTATTTGCATCGTTCCTTTTAAACAAGGCTGCTGCAAGACCTCCACTTTGCAATATAAAACCACAAAAACTTCTCATCCAGGGACAAGCCAGCAATTAGGTCATCAGATTAACTATGCTGCCACACTTGCACAACAGCAGGTATCTCTGCTTTCCTGATTATGGCATTAATTGGATCGGTGCACGTTGCTAAAGAAAGGTGCACAGCAGCACCTGCACCTCTCTGCCCGTGTGTGGGGCTCTCAGGAGGTTAATGCGAATTTCCTGGCCCGCCAGCCCCATGCTCAGGATTATCTGGTTATTATTTAGGGAGCTGCTTTTAATGGCACCAAATCAGGGTGCTGCAATCCCTGCCGCCGGTCCCCGCTAACTAAATAGGTCACCACATGTCTCAGGAATGTTGCAGTGCTGTAGGAGGGTTTGGGTGCTGCTGCAGACCCCCTCCCATGCAGGCTGCCTTAGAGATCTGTCATCTTTCAACCTTATGCTGCATTCAGACAAAGGCTCAATGCGGTGCCCCATGCTGCAGACCTCCAGCTCCCCTTCCTGGGCATCACCAGCAGCCCCAGTGGGACCCCATCCATTGCTTCTTGCTCCAGCCTCCCCGATGAAAGCCCTGAACCCTTGCAGTGGAAAGACAAAAGCCGGGTGGTTTCTATGGTGAAAGACATGTTTTGCTCTCCAAAACTTCATTTGGTTGTCGGAAAATTGAGAGCAGCGCTCCGGCATGCATTGTGCCATGGGGAGTGAGACCCAAACAAGGCAGAAAGCGAGCTGGGAGAAAATCCCTCTGGGAGCTCAGAATCTCCGAGCAGCGGCTGCGGAATGACAGCTGGGAAAACGGGCAAAGCTTAAGGTGGGAGAGGGATGCGGGCAAAGCGGGGCCACGCTTGGAGCATCGCTCCAGTGCGAGCAGATCGGGGAGGGGATGGAGATGGGATCACCCGGAGCAGGGATGGGATGGGGGCACTCACCTGAGCAGCGGCTCCTTCTCAGGGGCTGCTGCCTCCCCGCTGCAGCAGCCGCAGCAGCCGCCAAGCGAGCGCAGCCAGGCCCCCAGCCCCATGGGCGCAGCAGCGCTGGGCTCTGCCTGTCCCCGTGCCCCTCCCTGGCTCCCCCCTGGATCCCCCGTGCCTTCAGCCGCCGCAGGGCATCACGCTCGCCCTCCGGGGCCCCGCACAGCGCGAGCACGCAGGGCACGGGCAGAGGAAGGCAGGGCACGCTCATATTTCTCCCCCTCTTCTTCGTTCCGGGGCGACGCTGATTCATTACCATCCCCTTCCGGGGAATTATGGCCACTCGGATGCTCGAGAGCGAAGCTGCGCGTCTGCACGGCACAACAGCAGTGCCATACCCCTGTTGGGACATGTTCGGGTTGGGGGCCCGTGTCCAGCCCTGGGGGGCCCCATGGCTATTTCCCACGGGGATCGGGGACAGAAGGGATTATCCAGAGTCTGGTTTCCTGCACTGGGAGCTCGTCGTGCTCAGGGACCGATGGCTTTTTGCTGCTACTGTGCACGTCTCCACCATCCCACTCAGCCTCAGCTGAGGTGATTTCCCCCATCCCGTACAATTATGAGCACTCAGAAATCAGCAGCAGGCAACGGCCCTCCCCTCGGATCTGCTGGGCTGCTGCCTTGTTTACACATTGGCAGCATTCAGGGGGAGTCACAAGCAGCAGCAGCCCAGGATGCGAGCAGCTCCCACCAGCTCACCTGTGGCCTTCTCCCTTCCCTGCCTGGAGCCTTCATTCCACACATTGCTGCAGCAAATAGTCATTCAGACCATGAGCCCTGCGGGTTCAGAAGGAACCTTGCAGAAACCCTGAGCGTTTTCACATCCCTTTATTCCTTGCTGGGATGATAAATGTTGTTCCCTTTCCATCAGAGCACTGGCACAGCTGCCCAGGGAGTGCTGGGGTCACCATCCCTGCAGGTGTTCCATAACTGTGAGAATGTGGCACTGAGGGCTGTGGGCACAGTGGGGTGAGCTGAGGTTGGATTGGGAATCTTAGCTGTCTTTTTTAACCTGAATGATCCTGTGACATAAACAAAGGAAAGTCTCCCAAGAGCCAAAGCCTCTCTGGGGTCTTAAAAGCAAATTACTGCTTCTAAAAAGTAAGTGCAGTATTACCAGCTTCTGCACAGTGCTGCAAATACCCCCTGGCACAGATGGGGCTCCAGACCCTGTTTTGCCCATTCCCTGCGGTCCCATCACTAACAGAGATAGAAGCAGGGGGCTCAGCTATGTGCAATAAGCATTACTGCCCTGAATGCATGCAAAATGGCAACAGGCTGCCTTGGCACAGGTGTGGGGCTTTGCTCCTAACGCTGGAAGTAGGGTTATAAAAGCACCCTGTGTGCCTTTCTTCTTTTGCAGGGTACAAGGAGATGAATTCAGTACAGGCAGGCTGCAAGTAAAGGGTTGAGGTTCCTACAGGGTTTGGTTTTTGCTCTCCTTTGGTATCTGCTGCTTGAGTTGTTGAGGCTGCTGATCATCCCTTCATTTGTGTGCGTTCTGTGCTTAATTACCACAGTCCCCATACCAAGGGGAAGCCCAGCTCTCGGGCTCCAGCATGCTGCATTAAGGCTGTAGGGACCTCATAACAGAGGTCTTAGGATGCTGTACTTGCAGCTCAGCTGCACGGCGCTGCAGCTCTAGAGGGAGCAGTCGGCCCTGCAGTGCTGCCAGGCCCGCTGCTGCTCTTTCACCCCAGCTACGTAAGGAGGGCTGGGAATGTTTTCCTGGAAAGCGTGGCCCCACCCGTGGTGTTTGCATGCAATGAACCTTGCAGGGCCCCATTCTGCCCCAAAGCTAGCCTGTCCCTGCTGGCTGTAGGGTGAGTGGCCTTGTCCCTTCGTCCTGACGCTGCAGGAAGGCCTGGGAGCAGTGAGCTGGGTGCTGCTGGTAGCGTGAGTAGCTGGGGGAGCTGGGGCAGCGGCAGGGAGCAGATGGAAGCATTCCAGTGTGAGCAGCCGGGTTTGATGCTCCCTGCTGAAAGCAGCCGGAACAGAGAGCGGCGGCTCTTCCTGCATTGCAAGCTGTAACCCTTCCCTGCCTGGCGTGCCCAAACAGCACGGGCTGTGCTGTTCTACTGGGCTCTTTGCACGCAATTGCTGCCCTCGTGGGAGCTGCACGTCCCCGTCACGCTCCCTAGGTCCGTCTCTTGCGCGGTGCCTGCCACAAACGGGTCATGGCTGCTGAGGCTTCCGGCTTCTGAGCACGGCCCCATGATGGGGGACGCTGAGGGAGGGGCCTGGGCAAAGTCCTGGAGCTGGGTGCAGGCTGAGCACCGCTGTCCCAACAGGACAGCCCTGAGCTCCCAGCATGGCCGCACAGATGTTTGAGGGCACGCAGCACGCGGCCGTCTACCTGAAGTATCGCTTTGCCCCCGGCAAGGAGCTGAAGGACACCATCCTCACCTACGTGCAGGAGAAGGTGAGTGGGGCACAGCTGCACTCTGTTTATATCCTTACCCCTGTGAGCAGGGCTAGGAGTCGGGGTGCTGCTGCTGTGATGTGCCCCCTTGTCCCTGCAGGCTCCCAGCTGCACACAGCTGGCTGTGGATGTGGGCTGCGGGTCGGGGCAAGGCACGGCCTTCCTGGCGGAGCGCTTCGCAAAGGTGGTGGGCACCGACATCAGCCACGCACAGATCCAGGAGGCCAGGGCTGCCTCCTCTCCTCCCAACATCTCCTATCTGTGAGTGCTGCGGGCAAAACCCAGCTCCTTGTGTGCCCTTTAGCTTCGTGCCTCACTCTGCTATTTCCAGCATGATATGCTGTTATATTTTATTTTTTTTTCCCCCTGTGCGCAGGGTGTGCCCAGCAGAAGAGCTGCCCTTTGAGGATGCCTCGGTTGATCTCCTGGCCTCGTTCACAGCCGCACACTGGTTTGATATTGGGAAGTTCATGAACGAGGCGAAGCGCGTGCTGCGGCCGGGCGGCTGCGTGGCCATCAGCACCTACACCACTGACATGAGCCTGCATTATGGGGACTGCTCCGAAAAGCTGACCCAAATCTTCCGGGAGGTGAGGGAGGGCACCGAACCTTCCCCCCTGGGGCATTGGGAAATGTGGGTGGGTGATGGGGTGAGGAGCTGAGGGGCTGCAGGATGGGCTGCTGTGGGGAGAGTGTCATAGAAGTGTATATGCCTCAGGCCTAGGACCAAGCTCTGTGGAAATGAAGAGCTCAACGTGGTTGTGTTTATCTGCTGTCATTACAGGCCTGGGACCAGCTCTTAAAATACTCGCATAGTAGAGTAAAACACGTCCTGGAAGACTACAAGGAGATCTTTGAGGCTTTGCCATTTCCAGACAAGAAGAGGTGAGCAGGAGCTCCTTGGTGCATGACTGTGAGTGAGAACGCTGCTCCTGACCCATCAGCTGCCATAACGAGATGCTTTTCTCTCTTGGACCTTGGGTGAAGTCACGAGTTTTATTCATCACTACATCACTCTGCAGTCACCCTTGTTCCATTGCCTGTGTTTAATGTGCCAGTGCTCCTTTCTTCCCCATTGCCTTTCTAGAATCACCAATATCTACGATAAAATTCCCATGACGGTTGCTGGGGTGGTTGGTTACTTAGAATCTGCCTCTCCATACCAAGTCTTCATGAAGAGTGATCCTGAGGCTGCAAAAACCCTCCTCCCAGGGATGGAAAAGAGGTAATAAAAGGAAAAAAAGGCTTTTATGAAAATGAATAGGGCATGGAGAATGTCCCCTTATAGGGTGAATCAGGAGTGGGGTTGAGGGGAAAGAGGGGTGTGCTGCTTTGTGAAAGGGTTCCTGCCAATTGGTAATCGAAGCTTTGAAGTGCTTTAGAGGAAGAATCTCATCCCTGGTTGTGGTCATCTCCCTGCACCTGGTGCTACTTGGCTGGATGGGAGTGGAAAACCCTTACTCTGCTTCTTGCAGGCTGCTGGAGACGATGGGAGCACCCTCACGTGACACCCCGCTGGAGTTCTGGGTGAGGTATGTCTGCATCCTGGGGCACAAGGAAGCATGAGGCAAGCCTCCTCCTGACCTCGTGCTGAGAGAAGCAGGACTCCAAGCACCCTGCTCTTCCTTGGGGAGATTGGTGGTGATTTCAGTGATCGAAGCCTTAATCTTAGTAAGCAGACACGGGCTTAATGCAGGGCCGTGTCTGTGCCACGCTCCCAGTCTGCCCAGCAACCTCCTGTTGGAGGGACCAGGGTGGTTGTGATTCTTGTCCCACATCCAATCCTGTAACAGCTGAATTTCTTTAACAATAAAAAGAAAAATGTTGCAAAGTGGAATTGTGTTTGGCTTTTCTAATAGAGGCTTGGTTGGCCTGGCTGCTCTGGTCCCTGAGGAATTTCTTGGCACAGAGCTCTTGCAGCTTGAGCCTCCCTGGGCTTGTTCCTGCAGAGAATTGTTTGCGTACCCCTTGGATCCAGCCTCAGTTCTTTATCTGCTCTGTGCACCGAAGATAACTGTGTGCTACTCCCTGAAATGCAGAGGCGAAGTGATTCAAAGCTGGGTCTCAGCAGGTGCTGGTCGCCTCCTGTTTGCTTTCTGGAGGCATTGAGGTTCCATGGGGATATCTCCAGTTTCCCAGGCAGGAAAGGTGCCCTAAAGCTGTGGTCTGTAAGGAATAGGGGTCCCCTTTCCCATAAAAAGGGATGCTATCAGTCCCATGGGGTTTTTCTCCCATGGAAGCACTGTGGGGGAGGATCTGGCCAGCCCATCCCTGTGGGGTACTGCAGGTGAGGCAACATCCCCAGGCTATCCTCTGTGTTAAACCTAAAAGGGTTGGAGATGCTATGTCCCTACAGCACTGGCACAAGAGCTTTCAAAAAAAAGGTGTGTTTGTATTCACAGCAGCTTATTAGAACAGCTCTCCTCATGTCAGCCTCTGAGGGATGATGCAAGTGAGCAGGGGTGATGTAACAACATGAATTGCATCACTGCAGCTGGGTGCTGGTAGTGACACCAGCAGGCAGAATGGCTGCAGTGACAGCTGCTGAGCAGTGGCCACCTGTTGGATTTGGGGCATTACTTTGTCTTGCTTCACCTTTTCCCCCCCAAGTCTTTGTACAACCAGCTCTAAGAGGGTGGGGAAGAAACTCCTGGCCCCTCTGTACTTCCTTACTGCACAGCGTGGCTCGTGGCCAATGCTGCCTGTCCCAGCCTCCTGGTGAGTCACAGGGCGATGGCCTCACCTGGCACTGGTGACTGGTTGGCACAGCCATGCCTGTTTTGCTTTCCTTTCCACACCTGGGAATCTCCTGCAGTTGGGGATTTCTTGCTCTGGAAAAGCAGAATGAACCTCCCCAGTGCTTTTCTTCCACTTTGTAGAATCGGGGGACCTGTAATTGTTTGTGTCACTCAGCACAGTCAATAGACGTGGAATGTAATTAACAATTTCTTAATGTAGCGAGGCCAGATAGCTGCTCATTTTCTTGTGGGCAGAAATCATCACTGCCTATGCCTCCTTGCTGGGCTGGCTGTGGTGTCCCCAGCCTGTGTGGCTTTAGGGGATCTGCCGTGGTGGGTGACAGCTGCTGTAGTGGCAGAGCCAGCAGAAGCGTGGTTCAAAGGAGCTGTGCCAAATGCAGCCAGACTGGGTTGAGGTACAATCTATTGGTGTGAAAGCATCTCTTGCAGCTCCTTGTGCAGGACTCTGGGTTTTCCAGCCAGCTGCTCTCCGTGCCCACGATGGAGCCGTGCAGTGTGTCATGCTCTAGTGCTGTGCTTACAGCTCTGGCTTCCCTGCTCTGCTTTCACTTTACCTTTGGCACCTTGGGATTTCCTGCTTGCCTGTGTAAAGTAATGACGTCTCATTACGCTTTGCCAACCAGAAATGATGCCTGGGGAAATAAATGCTGCAGTGACAGAATAGACAAGTTAAAGGAGCAATGTGATGCTACTATGACACCCAATGGGCCAACCCAAAGCATCTCTATGGCTGTTCTGAGTGCAGCCAGCAGCAATGGGTGCAGGTTTTGGGGTAAATCCCCTGGATTATGGTGTAGATGGGACTGCAAGAGCTAGCACTGTTGCCAGCTTCTCACCCAGGAGGACATGCTGCTCCAGCTGCACTGAGGACGTTGTGCCCAGCTTTAACACCTCATGGGATTTTTCTGTTATGGATGTTCTATGCCTTGCTTGGATAGCTTCTGTGGAGTTACTTTCACTGCTTTTGGCTTCTATTTCATCGTTGTACTAAGTATGAACAAGTTGCATTGAATAAAATGCATTTTTCTCAATGTGTTTGTTTCTTTAAGTGGACAGAAAGGAAAGGGGAGCTTTTCAATCTTGGGGCACACGAGGTAATGAAGAACCAAGCCTTGGCTGAGGCTCAGGCTTTTAATTATTGACCTTAGCTGTATTAATGAGTCACATAGCCCAGTGCTGGTGGGATCCTGGTGGATCCTGGTCCTGCATTGCTGTCCACGACTTGCCATGAGCAAGAATCCCATGTCTCGAGTGCTTTCAGGCTTTACATCTGCATCTGGCTGTCCTGGCTCTGCTCCAAGCTCTAACTCCATCCAGTCTGAGCAAAGTGAGCATTGCTGCTAGCCTAGCTGCACCGCTCCTCATCCTGGCTGTGGTGCCTGGTGATGAGATGGGAGGCAATGAACACGAGTCAAAGCACATCTGAGCACAGCAAAGCCTTACTGAGGGGACAGTGCTGGCACAGGGTGCTCATTTTGTGGGGTCTCCACCCTTGGTGATAGGCAAAACAAGACACGGTCCTGAGGAGTGCCTGCTTAGGGCAGTGAAGCAGTGGAACAGACTGCCCAGAGAGGTGATGGATGCCCATTGCTGGAGACACTCAAGGACAATGCACTGAGCACCTGGTCAACTGTTTATGTCCCTGTTCATCAGAGGGGAGTTGAACCTGATGGCCTTTAAAGTCCCTTCCAACTCAAATGTTTCTATGATAACCTGCTCCAGCTGCACCTGCTTTTTATACACGCAGGATTATATTTTTCTATATTTAATGATTGATTAATGCACAAAACAAAATGCAGATGTAGTTTCACAGCTCAGGTTACCTCGAGGAAAGAGCAGAATTTGGATGCACAGCGCTGTGGCTGCCTTACTCAGTGCTACACTACTGCACAGTGGCTCTTTACACACATGGGTATATTTTGCTATACTTCATGATTGATTAGTGCATGACATTCAAAGTGCAGTTATAGTTCCATGGCTCAGGTTACCTTAGGGAAAGGGCAGGTTTCTTGCAGCGCGGGTGTGTTTTTACAGCTGCCAAGGCAGCTCTGTGAAGATGCTGTATTTGCATTTTCCACGAATGCTGCTGAACAGGGAGGAAAAGCCATGCACAGTGCTGTGGGGTCCCACCATGTTGCCCCATCCCGGTTGTCATATCCCCACAGCGCCCTCACCTGTGGCCACACCTGTGGCCTCGGGGTTTCCTCTCCACTGCTTTCGCTTTCCTGTCGCAGTGCTGCCTTGCCGTGGATTTTCCTGTCAAGCTGAAAGTGCAATCCTGCCCGCTGCTTAAAAGCCAGAGAGATGGGGCAGAGCTGCAGAAGTGACTTGAGAAGCTCCATCTCACCTGATTCTATTTCTTCTTATACTTATTTAATTTTGCTTCAAAGATGGTAGGCTACGGGGTCACAGTGATATTGGTAGGGATTCTGGGGGCACTCGTGGTGGATGCTTTCCCCCGGGTCACTCCAAAGAAGAGCTGCAGCCTCTCCAAGTACCAGTTCCCTGCACCTTCGGAGTTGAAGGCAGTGCGGAGGATGAAGGAGCAGTTTGTGAGTATCTAGGGCAGTGAGCCCTGGGCTGGGGGGCATCGGCTGGCGGGGAGCAAGGCAGAGAGGCAGCTGAATTTCAGGCCCTGAGCAGCAAAATGGATGTTTTCTGGGGTGTTTTTGGACAAGATGGGTGTTTTCTGAGGTGTTTGGGGGCAAGCTGGATGTGTTCCAGGCAGTTTGGGGACAGCAGTCCCCAGCACAGTGAGCAGCAGCACTTACCTGCCCTTGGATGATGCTTGCATCCTACCCATACCAATAGGGTATGGCTATGATGAATTTTGTGCTGGTTTCACATTTCTGGAGGGTGAAGCAGGTTGTGCAACAAACCCTAAAATCCAAGAGCAGCTTTTCAGTCTGTCCCCATTCTCCCATGTTTCACCTCCAGGAAGAGATCATGCTGCTAACAAACCGAAAATGCAACACCAGACTCTTTCATCGGAAGTGGAACACGGCCGAGCTGTCGGTAAGGACGATACTATGGAAGGGGAACCCCTCCTCCAGGCAGGATCCCCTTCTCCTGCACCCTGAGGCAGCTTCTGATCTGTAACAATGATGCTCTCGCCTGCAGGTAGCTGACCGGATCACCCTGGTGGAGGCTGAGCTGGACCTTACCATCACCATGCTCACAAACCCCACAACCCAGAGGATGGCTGAGACGTGCCAACAGCCCCTGGCCTTCCTTAACCAAGTCCGGGAGGATCTGCGAGACTGCGTGAGTGTCCCCCCAACCCTCCAGCCCCAGCTCTGTTGCATTGGTGTTAGCACCGTGGGCATCGCTGGTGCTTACAATCACTCTCCTTGCAGTTGGCCCTCGAGGTGCCTTCACATCAGCCTTCTGGGAAACTGAGGCACTGGCTGCAGAAGCTGGAGACAGCCAAGAAGAAGGTAAGTTGGGATGCTGGGCAGGAAGGCTGGTCTGGTTCCAGGGCCTCTTTAGCAGACAGCTCATCGCTTTGTATTCAAAAGCTCTAAATTCCACTTCAGAGTATGCAAATCAAGGGCAAGCTAGAGCCTTTTTTGCATCCCTCCATTAAGAAGCAGCCAAAAAGGCATTCCTCAGCACCTCCAAAGATGGCTAGAGTTTTGACCACTCATATAAAGCAACCTGACTTCCCAAACAATGCATGGAAGCCATTGCAACCTGCAGTGCTCAGCAGGGAGAGGCCAAGGACCCATTATACCCCCAAGGTCCTGTTCATGCTCCATCCCCCGTGCTCACCTCCCCTTCTCCCATTTCAGGAGACCCCTGGCTGCCTGGAGGCCTCGGCCATCCTCCACATCTTCCAAATACTGAACGACCTGCGGTGTGCAGCCCAGCGCGAGGATTGCACTTAGCCCCACTGCCCTGCATCTACCCGGGAGCAGCGGGTGTTCTCACACTGCTTTATGGAAGCTTGGCTGTATTTTCCTATTTAAGCATTTGTCTTATTGATGTGAGCTCAGGGAGCAATTTTGTAAGAGTCTTTTAAGTTATTGTGGGTTTTGTGGGGGTTTTTTGTACCACGTATTTATAAATATTTAAGGAAGATGTAAAGAAATGCGCTTCTTGAAAGGTACTGCTCAATGAGGATGAGCATATTTATTGTATATCTTTGTTTTGCTGGTTTTCAAAACACTGTTTTTAAGGAGATCTATTTTCTGTACTCACTATTTATTACACACTGTTACATATATTTACTTGTATAGATAATTTATAATTTATTTTTACATGCTATTTAACATGAAAAAGGAAATAAATACCTTAAACTGACAAACTACCATCACGTTTCCACATGATGTCTTGCTATAGTATCATCCCTTCAGAATCGTTTGGGGAGGATATCAATATGGATGTTGGGCATTTGAAGTCAGCAGAACCTCACCCCTGTGCTGATGCCATCTAAAGGTGCATCCTGACACCTCTCCTGGGGCTCACTTTTGGGATGAATGGATGCTACAGTGGCTGGGGATGTCCTTGCTTGCTGGGTAGCACCAAATATGGGAAGTCTGAAGCCTAAAGCATCCCAGTCCTGAGTGGGAAAGGCTCCAGACTTGGCCATCCCAGAAGCTCTCAGAAGATCCCTGTTATGATTTAATTATCAACCACAAGGATAGGACAAGTGAGGAGTGCTGGGGAAGGAAGGCACTCTGCAGGGAGAGGAGAAAAAGGATGGATGAGCAGTGCTGAACATCATTCAGTTTGTATTCCTTTGGGCCCAGATGCTTCTTTGGAGACTGATCACCAGAGGAGGGGAGCTGGTGAAGCTGTGAAGGTCACACATCGTGTCACCAGGGACAAGAAGTCTCCCCAACCACAGCAAGGGGATCCAAAGCACGCAGATGAGATTTTCTGCAACTTAAGAAAGTCAACAGTTGAGCTTCATCACTGGATCACCTTATAAACTTCTTCTGCCCCCAAATCTCCCATCAGAACCCAGGTTCACGTTACCCACAGACTGTGCACTGTTGGTAGTGCAAAGGCAATACTTCCTTCAGTAATCTCCAGCTTGAGAACTGATTTGTAGCACTGCACCAAGCAGACAGACCTCAAAGCTGCTGGCTGCCAGGGCTTGACATACCCTAGAGAATTATGCACAACTGTAAGCAATCTGCTGATTCATCTGATACTGTTACAAGAAAGGGTGATTAAAAGGCTGCTGTGACAGAAGAGGTTCTGCCAGAAGGTGGGTTTCTATTGAAATTAAAACAAAATAATAGTAATGTGTAGGGCTGTACTGATTTTTAGGGTATTTTTCATGGAGAATAGCCAAAATGAAACTTTTTATTATTTTTATTTTTCCTGAGGACATAAGGTCTTCAAATCAGAAGAAACCCAAGGAGCATCCAGCCAAACTCCAGAGTCAGGGCAAGCTGTGCAGGGACACACCCAGGTGAGTCTTGGATGGTTCCAGGAAGAGAGATTTCACAACATGGGTAACGCTTTCTGTTGGGTGATTTTGTGAAGCAGCTCTGTGCCAGAGCCAACTGCAGGGTGATGGAACACGCTGGAGAGGGCAGAGGATGACAAACAGGGGCTGTGACAGGGACAACGCTTTCCTAGCCCTCTGCAAAATCCTTGAATGCTTAGGATCAGGGGCCCAATGCCCACTTACATCAAGGACGCTCTGTGACTAATAGGAAAGGTTTTGAAGCCTCCAGTTCTCCATCCCTGCTCTGAAGCAAAGGCTTCAAGCAAAGGCTGCCCTTATCTTACTGATGTACAGCGTGGACATTTCTCTTCTTTCTGGTCCTGATTTGTTAAGGTGACTGACTTAAAAGTCAGCAGACAAATGGCACAGCTTCTTGTACCTCCTTCCACTCTCACTGGATGTGACTTTTATTTCAGTTCTTTTTGTTCCTAAAAGCGATGGAAAATTCCTTCTTTAGTCCTTGACATCAAATATCAGCAAGAGTTTATAATGGCAGCTCAAGCCACTGTTGGTTTTTGGTTTTGTTTTTAATTTTCATCACTACTAAATCCCTGTTTTCTAATGTACCAGTGCTCTTGATATTGTAATTTCTCCCCCATTCATCGCTGTTCATAATTCACAGTAATTCCTGTATATATTATACTGGGAACCATCAGGAATCATTTTGTGATGTTACTGTCTTGCTCTCAGAGGAGGTGATGTTCAGGGAGATCAGATTGCTTTTAATTTGCTTTGATAAAAAGAGTTTTTTTGAAAAATAACCTTCACTTCTATCTGCAGGTGACTTCTGCACATGTGTGAGTGGTTGGTGGGTTACTCATTCTCATGCAAAGCCTCAACTTTTTGGACTAAAAGGACAGGCTGAAGGACAGATAGCTGCTGAAGGCTCTTGAGACTTAAGGCTGCCATGTGAATTAGCGATGATTTCCTTTTTGTTTCCTTTGCATTCCAGAAGTCTTACCTCTGTAGTCACAACCCAACCCCATTTCTCTGCCCCTGGAGAAGTCCCCCCAGCAGCCCACGTCCCCTGAATCTCTTTCTGCACTCCCCCAGAGGTGTCTGCAGAAGAGGCTGGGATTGCTGCTTCTTTCTCATTTGATTTCTGTGTTCTTTTCAGAATGGAGGTTCCTCACTGCTCTGAGACAGCCAAGAAAGGGCAGTTGATATGTGGTATACCATGCACTGTGTCACTCCTTTACTCCTTAAGTAAATTGGAGCCCTATTAATGGTATGAAAAAGATGAAGAAAAGCTCAGATCTGCTTCCTAAATACTTCCCCATGCAATTCCTTGTTTCTAGTTTGCTCTGTGGTCTCTTGTCTGGAGGGATGCATCTGAGTTGATGTGATGCTGCTTCAAGTATTGTCTTAGCAAGGGATCACTTTAGATAGCAAAGCAGAGGTCCACAAGGCATTGGAGGGAAGGAACTTTTTGTTTCATGCTAATTCTACAGGCAGGCAAATCCTGCCAATAACAAACCAGGAGAAAAAAAGGTTCTGGGTTAATCATTGTAAAAGCCAAAAGCTGAAAACTGAACACTCTGTCACAGTCTTATGTTGGCTTCTATACAGTTTAATCTTGGCTCCAAAGTCCAGGTTACCACTGGGGGCTGTGACCACCATTGTCCCAAGGACATGAAGTGCTGAAGTTGGACTACATTTCAGGAGATGGAAAGAGAAGATTGCTCTCTTTATATATGTATATATAGATAGATAAAAGACAATGCTAACAAGGTCAAGATTAGGGCTGATCAAGGCAAGAATCTCAAACCTCTGAAACAAAAAACAGCGTAAATTTTTCAATTCTCATTTTTTACTTGACCTGCAGGCAATGTCTGCCTTGCAATGTGATTCAGAGCATCGCTTTGCTGTTTGGTTCTCTGGTATTAGCAGTGCCCAGAAGAAGCAGCAGCTAAACTCCAGGTCACTGATAGGCAGTAAGGCAAACACGTACATTGATCTTAATCAGAAGTCTGCATTGCTGTTTGTTATAAAATATACATCAAACCTCAGCTGCATGAGACATAACCCACAGTGCTGTTTTCCTTATTGCTTGGCATGATTCTCCCAGAGTGGTCTGCTCAAAAACCGTCTGCAGTGATGTACCCATAACAACTGGCTACCTATTAGTCAATACTGAAAGTATTCATGAAATTTCCTTCTAAGAGGACCTCATTAAAGCTGCACGTGGAAAAATGGTCTGAAATTGCCATCATAATCACCACAATCAAATTATAGAGGTCTGCTTTTTTCCAAATGGTTCACAGCAGATTCAAGTTGAAGTGTGCAGGAGGCAAAGCATTGCACATGGCAATGACCTCGTGTATCTTGCTTTACAGATCAGAGAGATTTACTTTTTCTCAGCTACATGGCCCTGAATTAGCAACTACAATGGCACAAGCACCATTGCTATGGTTACTGTCACATAATGTCATCTCCTTTCTGAGGCTCCAAAGCCATTTACAGGTGTGAGAGCTCAGTCAGTAATGATTTCAGTATAGAAGTGCAATACTCTTGTCTGAGAAAGGGTGGTGAAAAAGGCAGCAGGGGTTAAACCCAAAGAAGCAAACAAAGTGGTGGAAAGCAAAGACTGGCAATGAGTACATTTCCTGCCCCACCAGAAGATATCGATCCTGCATGTTCAACGGTTTCCTTCACTCTTTAAACACTGCAGATTGTGTAATATCACGTTCTTTTTAACTTCATACTTTAAATCAGACGTCTTAGCTAAAAAGAGTTGAACAGACAAGATATATCCTCAACCTGCCTCTGTATAAAGGCCTAAAAATATGCAGCCTGACAAAGTTTAATTTCCTTTTCTTCTGTGGGGAAAATGTGTGATCTCAGTTCTCCTGGCTTGCTGAGCCCTTCTGAGTACAAATGTAGAACCAGCATCCCTCAGGAGATTGAAAACTTTTTAGGGAACTCAAAGTGTAAGTTGAAAGGGTTTACCTTAGTTTTCTAACAAAGAAATGAAAAAGAAAAAGAGGAGCTATTTGTTTTCAGTGCAAGCTTCCTACTAAACTGTCTCCTGTTCTCGTACCCAATTTCTCAGACAGGGATTGGTGCATGGAGGTCAAAATATGCTGAATCAAAGCTCTTCTGACCCTGGAAAGTTCCCTGGTCTTGCAAAAAGAACCTTCATTTTCTACTTCTGAGAAAGACCCATTAAATTGTAGTAAAATTCGCTGTGGTTGAGTCTTGATTTTGCCTCAAGTTTGAAATGGATGGCAGCTGGTGTACCTTCTTGGAGGTATTTTAGTGATGTGACCGATGCTAATTCATTATTACAGTAACCTGTGAGGAATTATGTGTCCTCCTTGCTGGGACCTTGTCTTCTTGGACCAGATTCAAGCAGATGCACTAGGAGGATTGGCCCAACAAGTCCATGAGCAGCTGAGCAACAGATGGCCAGTGTGAGATGAGCCACGTACAGGAGCGCTCTGCCTGCTGAGATGACCACTGCACAGACCGGGGCCAAACTTCTTAATTATACATGAGACATTGTTGTCTCCTTACCTGCCGCTGTTTCCTGTTACCTTCCCTTTTCCCTAAGCAAGCGCCCCCAAGTGTTGGAAAAAAGAGTGGAGTTGCTCCGATTTCGCTTCTCTTTCAGGAAAGGCAGTTTATGCTTTGCCAAGTAGTGAGTAAAGATCCTTGCTTCTCTTTCTTGCTTCTCCTTTTTTTGCTTATTTGCTTCGAGTTTCTGTGCAGCTAGTAAAAGACATCTGCCCATTAAGTGAGAGGGTAGTGTAAGCCCTATCTCCTTTCTGACTTCATGTCACTGAGCTGAAGGAGTACAGCAACATTTTGTTGTCCGAATCAACAGACGCTATTTTGCAAAGGTTCATTCAGAGGGCAGCAATAGCAAGAGCTTGAGTATCACGTTATTTGCAAGGCAGTTTTTTTGTTTGTTTTTGCCCGTTTACGACCCATGTACCTCAAGGATCACAAATCCCCTGGGCTGGCTCTTTCACCAGAATATTCAGTAGAATCTGTCATGCTTCCTTCTTTGCCTCTTTTTTTCCCTCTCCAAAGGTTAATTTTGGTTTAACTCGTTTAGCTGCCTTTGTCTTTTGAGCAGAACTGATTTTGCTTTATTGCAATTGTGTGTACAAGGCTTCTAAGGGGATCCTAAAGATCCAGAGAGGCCATGTTCCTCTTTAGAAAACAAGCTGACTCCTGAAGGCTGTTATCAGGAATACCAGAAGGCCAACACTGGTGGGTGAGTGAGCTGAAAACTCAAAAAGTTAAACCACTAAGGCACTGTGTTCTCCTGTTCCTTTTCATCTGTTGTCTGACATCAAAACAAACTTGCTTTTCTAACTACCTGTACTCTGTCTGTTGTGTGGATGGGAAAAGAATTGAAGTTCCACAGTTAATGGGGATGTCTTGGAAGCTGCAGACAAACAGGAAGGCAAATAGTGATAAAGTAGATAAAATCAGTTTTATGTCAAGATGCAACCATGCTGCAGTCGTGCTAAATTATAATTTTGAAGATAAAACCCTTAAGAACTACAAGTCTGATTTTTGCCCCCTGAAATAGCTTGGTTTCAGTTTTGTTAGCGTTGTCTAATACACTGAGTATCACCAGTGCTGAGAAAATGCCAATAAAACACAGATCATGTCCTGAGCTCTGCCTGAACCTGCTGCTGCTCCAGGACTGATGACTGATCTCTGATGTGTACCTGCAGCAGGGACTGTGACTTCACTTTCCAATAGATGGAATGTGTTTGGATATAGAGCTAGTGTAAGAGCAACAGAAAATCTCCCTTTAATAGAGTCACAATGGAGTTTTAGGATAATGGCTAGTCTTATTTGTTCCTACTTCATACAAGAACCCACACAATTGCCCATTAAGGAAGGAACTGATACTTTTAATAAAAAAAACAGGCTTCTCTGCTGGAAGAAAGCAGAAAAGTATGTATTAAATAAAAGCTTAAAAACAGACCAAAAGGACATAAGAAACCATAGTTTTACATAGTGGGATAGTTTAAACGTAAGATGTTTGTTTCATCTCTTCAGCTTCGGGAACAGTCACTGCTGGGCAATGGCAAACAGTTGGGTAATTATCTGAAATACAAAAGAGACTAAGTCTTGATTTTATTTGACACACGAGATGATGTCTGGAACTGCTCAAATTTTTGCTGTGTGGAACATGAAATACTTTCCAGGTTAAAGAAATTGTGATGGAAATATGAAATGTGCATCAATGTGTTCTGTTAACTGTTTTCAGCTAGTCATTAGCATTTTGAAGTAATACTTGATACAAATATATAAATATAGCTCTAATGTCATGAAATTGCTTAATAAACTGCAATTATTTCCTTAGCTGCTTAGCAATTTGCAACTCTCATCTCTACAGCACCTCTGAAAATAGCTAGTTTTGATTGCTCAAATATGCAGTGTAGTACCTGATGTGGGGTACTCACTGGGAAGGTTTTGATGCTGAGTTTTGCTCTTCACAAATAAGAGGAATTGGCAGAAGGTGCAAGGAGACCTGTCACCATTACAGTCTGTGCTGGACAGTACTGTCTTGCCTTTAATTAGTTGTTAGTGGAGGCAGCAGTTTGTTGACAGCACCTTTATGAGTTGACTCACAAAACTATTTTATTAATCCTAGCACAGGTCACAGCCACCAGACATTAACTGAACTGCTGTACAGTAGAAAAGAGGAGGATAGCTACTGATAAAATAAAGATAAAAATAGAAAGCCACCCTCCCTTTGGCAATGATGGACAAAAGAAGGAAAACTGATGTCATTTACCTGGACTTGTGCAAGACCTTTGACATGATCTTGCACCACATCCATATCTCTAAATTGGACAAATATGGATTTGAAGGCTGGGCTATTAGATGGTAAGGAATCAGTTGGATGGGCTGTTGTCAATGGCTCTGTGTCCAGCTGGAGGCCCATCATGAGTGGTGTCCCTCAAGGGTTCATTCATCCTGCAACCTTTATCATCTTTATCAATGATTCAGTGGGATTGAGTGTATGCTCAGCAAGTTTGCTGACAAAACTAAGCTGAGTGGTGCAGCTGACAGAATTGAAGGAAGGGATGCCATCCAGAGAGACTAGGACAGGCTCAAAAGCATGCTGGGGTGAAAAGCTGGACACAGCTCTCCAGATGGGGCAGAGTAGAGGGGGACAGTCCCCTTCCTTGCCCTGATGTCAACCCTCTGTTGATGCAGCCCAGGATACTGTTGGCCTTCCAAGCTGCAAGAGCACACTGCTGGCTTATGTCTAGCTTATCATCCATCAGGACCCACAGAGTCCTTCTGCACAGGGCTGCTCTCAAGCAGTTCTTTTCCCAGTCTGAGATTGCCTCAACCCACATGCTACACCTTGCACTTGGTCCTTGTAAAATCTCAATAGATTCTGTAAATGGGTTGTGCTTCTCAGGAGAGAGAAATCAGCAAAAACAGCTGATAGACATCAGTATCTTGAGCATTCAAATTTCTCTTTCCAGGATGTTGACGTTATGAGGCAAACACATAAAAGCAAGGAGCTGCCAGCACTGTGGCTGACTTTGCAACCTTTGTTTGCCCCATATGCTCCAGCAGGTGTTATGGGATCACAGAAATGTGATCTCGATGCAGTTTGGACGCTCATTGTGTCTTGCCATCGTTAGCATATGTACACACACAAGGAAGCTTTTTTATTCTTTTGCCTTCTGCCCTGAAGCCAGAGAGCAGAGAGGAGGTTTTCCCAAGCACCTGCTTTCTTCCTTCATCTTTCAGTTACAGTCTTTTCATCTGAAGACACAATAAGCAGGAATTAAAACTGCTTTTCAGCCAATCCAATCTTGTACAATAAGCTCATGAAAGAGCTAGAGCAACTTGAAGTCTCAGAGAAGAAGTTCTATGTTGGATTAAATAGATTTAATTAAGCTAAATCCTGGTGCTTATTTATTTTTCAGAAAGGAAGCAATTGTGTTCCTGTGAATGTTTAGGAGCTGGTATTTTAGTTGCTACCTGCCGAACCTTGTGTCTGGTCTGAATGTTTGCTTTATAAAACCTTATAACTTGAATACCTCACTAATTGCTCAGTTTTGGTTCCCCTTTTCATTGCATGCTATGGGATGGAAAAACTCCAATGTATATATGTTATATATTATATATAGCTATATATCATATAGTTATATATCATATAGCTATATATGATGGCGACGGTATTTGAAGTGGCATATCCCAGACATTTTACTAAACGTAAGCTCATGATTTCACACAGATTTCAGCTCCCACTAATTTGGCGCAGGAATGGGTTAAAAGAGTACGGGCACAGCGCCCAAAATGGCGCCGGCAGATTCCAACCCCAACTCTCGCGAGACGACGGCGGGAGCAGGCAGAGCCCTTGTAACGGGTGAAGGGGAGGGGCGCATATAAGCCCCGCCCTCACCCCGCCCACTTCCGGTGCGGCGGGCGGGCGGCTGAGGGAGGAGGAGGAGCCGCGCCGCCGCCCCTGCCCCGGGCCAGCCCCGGGATGGTGTTGGCCGCGGGAGCCGGGCCCTGACGCCGCGCTCAGGTAGGTGCGAACCGCCCCTTACGCTTCTAGATCTGGATTCAGACCCACCTGCGTCTCCCCGTGTGGTACCGGCCTACTAGGCCTCGGGGCTCCGGCTGGGTCTGCCTGTCCCAGGCTGAGGGGCGAGAGGGCCGGCGTTGCGGGCCTGCAGGGAGCTCGTGCAGCCCCTGCGTGCTGCGAAACTCCCCCCTCCGTTGGGCTCCGTCAGCAGAAGGGAGGGCAGCGCTGGGGCTCGGCCCCTTGGTGCTCGCCTTCTGATTGCCGCAGCTTTCTAGGACGCAGGTAGCGAGGTGCTTAATGCCCGCTGACACTGGTTTCGGTTGGACGTGTTACCTTTAGGGGGCCGTCTGCAGTTCGCAGGTTTTTCTTTTCTGTTTTTGTTATTGTTGGTTTGTTTTTAGGAGCCCGTGTCACCGTTTTCCTGTCTCTTCCCTTTTCTCTTTTTTTCCCTCCTTTCGTTAAAACCAGCTGTTGCCTTTCTTTATGGAAAAGCAGACCATTTTGTCTGCTTATTTTATTTCTCTGGGACAGTGTGAGAGGGGGAAAAAAAACACAACTGAGTCTATTTCAGCTGGGCAACCTGGATTTATGTTTGCTCCAGATTTTACTGTTTTCAGTCTGGATCTGAAATGTAAGACATGTACCTGTCAGCCTCAGAGAATTTGACCTTCTTGAGTATCCAATCAGGGAGTTGTGCTATTGGGTACTGTTGTAAAACACCTGTTTTTCCTCTCTTTTAAACCCCATTACTCATTTATCTGTTATGTTCTCCTCAACACAGAAGGTTGGAAGGGATCTTAAAGCTCATCTAATTCCAGTCCTCTACCTTGAATACCCAAGTGTCACAGCAGTTGTTTGATTTCTCCTCTTCCCCATGCTGGTACTTTGGTGCTGATGTGGTTTGTTATGAATCCCTCAGTTTTCTCACAAACCTGAAGAGCAGCCAGGCTATTTCTGCAGATATGCCAAGCAGACTGACAGGCCAGGGAAGCTTTTTCTCCCACCTGATGTCTTTACTGCACAAACTTTACTGAACAAACACAATCTGCAAAGCAACTGCTGTTGCTGTTGACCTGCTGATTTCAAGGCATGCTTAGAAAGAAAGAAGCAATGAGAGGTGTAGAGCTGGAGCTGACATAAAAATCTTGTTTCTAGTCTTGTCATATTATGTTATGCTCAGCTTCATTTCAGTAGTTCCTTCACCTGACCGTTTGCATTGTGAGTATCTCAACTGACGTTGCATGATTACCTATTTCGTGTCTTGGAAACTGCTGCACCATACCTGTCCAGTCTTCTGTTCACACTAGCTCATGTAAAGACCATATGGTTAAAGGGTAAACATTACTGTTCTAGTGGTGGTGAGGCCTAAAGAGTATTGATCTTGTCAGCTGGACTTTGGTTTTGGCCACACTTCTAATAAGAATGAAACTTCTTATAAGAATGAACTGCCTTAAAGTAGGAGTAGCATCAAAATTTCCAGGCAGAGCACTTTGCTTTTAAGAATTTGGCATTCTGTCCAACTCCTGCTGTGATTGATCATCATAGTCCTCTTCTGATGTGGAGGACTGACATAGCAAAAATTTCTGCTTCAGTTACCAAATGACCACGTGTAACTTTATGGCTGTGCTGTGAAGAGTGCACTGTGTCACTGTTGGGCAGTTTAAATCTGTTCCCATTGCTGTGTGCTGCTATCTGACTCAACGCTCACTTCCCAGTGCTGCAGAGTAGTTCCAGGAAACACTCCCTTTCCTCTCTTCTTTGGATTCAAAAAGCAGTTCTGAATGCTGTTATAGGAGATACAGATGAGGATGGTGGGAGCAGGTTTTCCAGCTGTGGCAGTGGGATTCTCGCTGTGATTCTTTTAGAGGAGTGATGTCAGGCAGCGATATGCTGTGGTAGATGGTCCAGTGAAACAAGGTTGTAAACAGTGATGAAAGTCTGACCTTTTGCCAGCAAAAACTGAACTTCCTCCTCGCCTGACAGGCTGCAGCTCTGTCAGTGTTTTGGTCTGAAACAAACTCTTGTTCTTCAAACACTATAGTTTGTCCGTGTCTTTAACTGCAGTCAAGTGGTCTGTTTTTTTTGACTGCTAAGAATATGGCCAGAGCTGTATAATGTGGGTCTAACTATTTTTGTACTTCCCCTTCCCTAGTGCTTTGAGTATTGGTAATTGACTTTATTCTTATGTTTGTGTTCTAGACTGAAGACAGCAGTAATGCTCACTCTTGCAAGCAAGTTGAAGCGGGATGATGGTGTCAGAGGACCCCGTGCATCCAATCCAGCTTCTGATTCCACTCGGAGGGTGTCTGTACGAGATAAATTACTTGTTAAAGGTGAAAGGAACTTACATTTAAATTTTGTGGTTTGTAGTTTTTAGATATGTTGGCAGTGATGCAATACTAAATGTTTATAAAATGGTTTCCAGAAGCATGTTTGAATTTGCTTGTGACTTATACGTGCACTATATTATCATAGAACTGTAGGATCTTTTGAATTGGAAGGGATTCATCCAGTCCAATCCCCCTACAATGATCAGGGACACCTGCAGCTCCAAATGATGCTCAGAGCCCTGTCTAGCCTGATGCTGTATGTCTTCAGGGACGAGGCTTCCACCATCTCTCTAGGCAAACTGTTCCAGTGCCTCACCACCCTTTCTGTAAAAATATTAAAATCAAAAACCAAACCAAAAAGCACAATAACAACTTCTTCCTTATATCCAATCTAAATCTCCCCGCTTCTAGTCTGAAATCATTTCCCCTTGTCCTGTCACATCTGACTCTGCTGAAGAGTCTGTCCCCTTCCTTCATGCAACTCCCTTTTAGATACTGAAACGCTGCTCTCAAGTCTCCCCAGAGCCTTCTCTTTTCCATATTGAACAGCCCCAGCTCTCTCAGCCTCTCCCTGTAGGGAGGTGTTCCATTCTTTGGATTGATTTTGTGGCCCTTGTCTGGACGTGCTCTAACAGGTCCACGTCCCTCCTGTACTGAGGACTCCCCATCTGGACGCAGTGCTCCAGGTGAGGTGTCACAGCACAGAGAGGCAGATCCCCTCCCTCCACACTGCTTTTGATGCAGCCCAGGGTATGGTTGGCTTTGGACTGTGAAGGCACAGTGCTGGCTTGTGTCCAGTTGCTATCCACCAGCACCCCCAGGTCCTTTTCAGCTGCTCTATTCTTACATCCCCCAGCTTGTGCTGATAGTGGGTGTTGCCATGACCCAGGTGCAAGACCTTGCTCTTAGATTTATGGAAATTCATGAGATTCACTTGAGCACAGCACTCAGCCTGTCAAGGTCTCTCTGGGTGGCATCCCATCCCCTGGGTATGTCAGTCACAACAGACAGCTTGGTGTCATCTGCAGACTTGCTGAGGGTGCACCCAGTCCCACTGCTGATGTCATTGATGAAGATGTTAAAGGGCAATGGACCCTGTACTGGTCTTGGAGGGACACAGCTTGTCAGTGATCTCCATCTGGGCACTGAGCCATTGACCACTTCTCTCTGGGTACAATCTCACAACTGGTTCCTTGTCCATCAAACAGTCTACCCATCAAATCCATATCTTTCCAGTTTGGGGAGAGAAGTATTGCCATATGTCAAATAGAGAAAATGGAGGAAAAACTGTAGTTGCTTGTGAAAAGAAAGTAAATTCTAAAAGTAACATCAGTGTTCGTGTTATTAATGATAAAGATAAAACCAATAAACTTAAAAGTTTTAAAAACAAACAAAATATGTATTGTAAATTTTTTCTTCTACCTAGAATCGCTGGCTGTTGAATTAGAAGTAGAGAATGGAAAAATAGACCCCTTGTTTTTGTAGCACTGTCTCAGGGAGGCTAATTTAGGTTGTTATATCTGTGTCTGCATTGGTGAGTAAAAAACCTCTTACTTTGTGGTAGTTCAGGGCAAATGAGGTAGTTTGTGAGGCTGTATAATTATACTATTGTACAGTGAAATTGAGGACAGCTCTTTTCTGTAGCTCAGATGATCTCTTTAATAAACATCCTTAAGTGCTGGTGCTTTGCAATTACAGTGGGCCTAAAGCCTGATTTACTCCCTCTGCTACTAGTTGAGTGCTTCAATGCTTGAGCTGTACAGCTTGATCTAGTAGACAGGAATATACTGTTTAGATTGATGTTTCTGTTAAAAATGAGCCAACGTGAGTATATTGCTGGTGATGTGTAAGCTGTTAAGGTTAGGATTTGTATGAGTCAAACAAAATATTCATGTTTTCTGGGCTTGTATCAGTGCCCTGAAGTTGCTCTGAACTATTTGGTTGAGTGGTATTACTGAGCTATTGCTTTATATGTGGCTTTTTCTAATTAGGGTAGATTCTGATGGAGGGCTGTACATTGGAGCGTGGTTTCCCTGCAGTTGCTAAGGCTTCAGTGCAGTGGGAAGTGCCTCAGGTAGACATTATGTTCCCAATTTTCTGTCAGTTATAGTTCTGTAAGGACAGAGAGTTTCAATTCACTTTAAACTCTGATGCAAAAAAAAAAAGCTTGTTTGTGACTTCTAATTTGGAAGTCTGCACTTAGCTTCAATTCTGAAGGGGGAAGGGCATCAGACAAGTGAAGTAGGCTCTTCAACCAGAATAAACTACAAAACTAAAATGCTAAATGTGTATCTTCTGAGATTTTCATTAGCCTACAAGTGCAGACCTCAGAGAAAATAGCAGTATAATGTGAATACTCTTCATGCTATACCAGAAATTGTAGTTGAAGTGACATAAAAAATTCTACTGTACCCTTAGAGCATTTGCATTTTTCACTTTTATGACTAAAACCCTGTGCATCTTTCTTCTTTTGCAGGGAAAGCAAGGAGTGTAAGCTATAGGAAATCATTACAGAAACTGTAATTGCTATTACCATTCTAAAACTAGCACAGGCTAAGTATTGAATGAGCTGAGTGCCAAACTGACAGATATTAAGAGCAGGTCACTGGCAGCATCCTCTGACGAGCGTGAGTGTTACATCATGGTCTGATTGTGTGTATCACGTGGCCCTCCAAAAGAGTTGTAGGAGCAGCTGTCAGTCTGGTTTGAATGGTTGCTGGATTGAAATGAGAACTGGTGGCAGAATTAGATCAGTTCAGCATAACTGTGCTGGGAGTGAGTGGAATATCTAGTAGCTACACTAGAAAAGCCTTTGGGGGGAATATCATCTTTTATGGTTCACTTTAGGCTGGATGAGTACTGCTATGAGTGCAAAAGTTTCTAAAACTTGCTCCAGCCACTAAAGGTCTGTCAGCCAAAGCAGCATCTGCAGTATTGGAAGCCTGACTGGTGTGTTGTGATGGTGCTGGTATTTTCAGGACACGTTGTCTAGGTCTGCAGGAGGAGTTTGGAAGTGAAGGACTGCCTGCTGAAGGTGTGTGTGCATGGTTGGTGCTTGCATCTAGACCAGTGCAGGTGCCTTTTGCTGCTTTCTGGTATGGAACTGAAACAGCCCTTTGGGTGTGCAACTTTACAGGGCTGTGCAGGACTGGGAGCCTGTAAGAGCAGTGGTAAGGAGAACTTGTTACCAATTTTCGTTATAGGCTGGAGGCATCAAACACAGAGATTGCAGTACAGGTAAAAGGCTAAACTTGATCTCCTGGATTGAAAAGTACTCTCCCACATAAAGGAAAATAAATTCTGGTGGAGGGGGAGGCAAGAAAAGGCCCAGCATATGCTGTCCTTGTTTACCTCAGCAGTTGTGCTGAGATCTGAACAGGTTCAGTTGTACCTCTTAATAGTGTTAGTTTCCTTAACATACCTGTATCTTTTTTGGCCTCAAATTAGGCATTAACTTGTGAGACAGCAGAGCAGCAGACAGCTTGTCTGTGCATTGGCTTTCAGGGTAGTACATACATATGATGGGCTGTATTGGAAGGTTAGGTGAGGATGATTTTGGCAGGATATCCTAAATCCCACCTAGCTCTGGAAGCTGGTAATGATGTATAAACCGAGGTGTGGAAGCTATTTGCCTGCTCAAGGATGATGCTGGAGTGATGCTGTCCTATTCCCAATCCATGGAAAGCTGGCAATGGTCTGACAGATTCTGCAGGCAAATGTCTTGGCCAATTTGATTACAGGCATCATCCAGACAGTGTTGTTTTATTGTGGGGTTTTTTTTTGGTTTTGTTTTGTGTTTTTATCTGGGAGTGAAGACAGCCTTACTTGTGATGATAGGGAATCCAGTCCAGGAACGTTTTATAGGATCTCCTTGAAGAGATCCTGCTGTCCTCCATGTTTTGTGTGCACAGACTGGAATATAGATGAGTGGCATTTTGTCTGTGGGCTGGGTGGTTTGACCACAGCCATTGGTAAGTGTAGACAGTGCTTACAAACTTCTGAAAGGTAAATGTAGACCAACAGCCTAACTGGTGCAGCCTTGAAATAGGGAAGAAGTGATAATGTAGGTATGATTTTTAGCTGCTTGCAATGTATGAGAAGATCTAGGCTGGGAAGAGACCAAGTAGTTAGTGATGTGTCAAGATGTTCTGTGCCTTGAGATTGATAGTGTGGACACACAATTTTTTTTTGTGTTAAAAGAACATTAAATTCATCTCTAAGAGATGGGCTTCATCAAGTTAAGAGTAGTGGCCATATGTCTGCTCCTGTAGGATGCTCAAAGCTTTGCAGTGCTGAGCTTAATGGCAGATCCTTTCTGAAATAATGTGTGAGCCAAAGTATTATGTAAGATTAGTGTTATCTAATGAGCATGACTATGAAATTGAATTGAAAACAGCAGTCCTGCCAGGATGTCAATTGTAGCCATGTGTTCGTGTATTGATCACAAATGCACTGCAAAAAAAGCAGTTTGAGCAACTACATCTAATTATCATCCAGTTTTATCTTACTGGTGCTGTCTACCTGATTGCAAATGTCAGGTTGTAATAACTCCTGAGACATTGAGTTATGTTGTTTATTCCTCAGTCATCTTCAACGTATCTGAATTTACAACCAGATTTAGTTAATTCGAAAATGTTTCAAGTGTATTTGTACATCCTGAAGGGAAGGGAGTGAGAAACTGATCACAGAAATGAGGTGAATGTGCTCTGTAAATAAAAATCAGGAGAATCTGTATGTTGGCTTTTTCCAAACCTTTAGGTACTGTAATATCACTTGTCATAGCGGTAGGTGAGAAAATTGAGAGTTGGAGAATAGAATTAAAAGAAGACATTCTAAGCACTCTTGAAATTCTAAGAGACATTGTTTTGAAAATGCTGCATTCATGTCTTCACATTTTTTATTTTTTTTTTATATTAAACAGGGAACAGAAGCAGAAAGAGGGGCTTTGGGGCCAAAAGCAGGGAGAAGTATGTATTGCTGTGGGTGAGAACGTTCATTTCAGTTGAGGAAATACCCCCTTTCATTCTGTGCACTTGTGCTGCAGTGGGAAGCACGTGGCTTGACACCGTGGTGAGGGTAGTAAACAAACCATCTTATATCCTGCCTTGTCGAGCTGGGGGAAGGGGAGAGTGCAGAACATCTCGATTATGGTTTGTGTTACTGAATATAACATTCACGTGGGTCTATCATAAACCATATGCCTATATGCTTGTCAGGAATGTGTTCCTATTTCTGTCCTGAGAATTGTCATGACTAGGGAGAATTGCTGTTTGTGAAATCATTTATAAATAGCTCTGGTTACTCGTGTGTAGCTTAGCTTTCATAAAGTTCTGAGAGCTGTTGCTGAGAGACGTCACCAGTTTTGCATTCAGTTTGTCCAAAGCCTGTGGTAGGTTTAAGTTCAGTCCCTGCCTTTTCACCCTTTCGGTGTAGCATCTGGAACCACTAAACTAAACCACTCCATTGGTGTTGGAGTGATGTATGCCTGTGCAGTGAGATTCTTCGTTGAGATTCTTTCTTCAGCGAGATTCTTTCACTGCTGAAGCTTCAACTTGTCTGTGTCAGCGATGAGAGCCAGTTCAGATCCAGCTGTGTGTATTGCTTCTGGTAAGTGCTTGCTGAGTTGAGAGCAGGATGCTGCAAGTACACTTGATTTAGGTGTGCTCTTGCACCTGATTGATTAAGGTTTCATGGACATCAGACTGGCTGATGGGGAGCTAGTTAGAGTCTGGGCTGCCTGCACCATGAGTGTTCCCCTGAGGAGCTCTGGCACCTCTCTGCCTTTCAGACTTCCCTGGGATAACTTACCAGCATGGTAGGAGCCCTGTGCTGCTCCTGGGTTTGCTTCTGGTTGGCAGTCAGCCTTCTTGGCTATGAGAGGGCTTGAGATGCTCTGAGGTTTCCACAGCACTGGATCAGTAGTAGCAAGCACTACTCCAAATGTTCATCATTCCTCTATCCTGCTTTCTGGATGCTTGAAGAAATACATGAAGCATTGTGCTTGCTGCAGAGGTTTGGTAAGCATGGATGCAGGAAGAGCTCTGTAGAACTGGTGAGCTTTTAATTGTGAGATCTGTTTGAATTCTGTGTCTGTCCCTTTTCCTTTATCTTAAGCTCAATTGTAATTTTCTTTGGATGCATATTTCTGAGAGTTGGTGTTCAGATCTCTTAGATGTTTTTAGCCTAAATGAATCATTGGTTTCTGTGCAGAAGAGAAAGTGAAGTGAGAAATCAGGTGGAGGGAAAAAAAAAAAGCCTACAGGAAATGCAAATATACACTTAATTAGGTTTCCTAGAACTGTAAAGGGAGGGGGTGCCTTCCTGCATCTTATTCATAATCTTGTGAAAGATTCAAGTAGCTGAAAGTAAGGCTTCAGTATGGTACAGGAGACAGGGAGAAAACAGTGGGCCTTCCAGAGAGGGCAGTGTGACAGAGAGGGAGTTAGGAATAAGCTTTTCTAAGTGCTACACAACTGAATAGTGTTACTTTCTTTTTTTCCAAATGAATGACCTTGAATTTCTATGCGTGGGACATAAAAGTGAATGAAAAGAAACTTGAATTTATTTTTCAATTGGAGTGCATATCCATAGCAAACAGTACTCCAGGGGAAATTTCTAACAGGCATTGAAGCAAAAAGTCTGACTGCTCTGAGAGTATTCAACAGTGCTTAGGTTTCGGGGGGAGTTGTGCAATTGGAGCTGCTGTTTCTGTCCTGATTGCTGTGCCAGGTGCATCAATTAAGGTTTCTGGGTTTTGACTTTCTTAATGCTAGTTTATGCAGACAGGAGGATGTCTTGTATGACAGTGCTCTTGAGTAGAACCTCAGTAGCTGTTCCCAAGTATGCAGGCAGTAGTGTTGTGCTTGGAGGCTTCCCCAAAGAAGCCAATGTATAACCTGAGGATATCTGTAGCTGAAGGTGGTAAAGAACATGAGCAGGTAGGTGTGTAGAGTGCTGCACCTCCAACAGACTGTGAGCCTCTTGTGCTTGTTTTCTCCACTGAGGTGGCTGCTTCCTGAGGTTGGTCTGCTCCTGTGTTTTGGCCTTCTGTATTTTAGAGCCTTATGAGTTTGGAGGTTAGAATGATGCCACCCTTTGCAGTGGCAGTGCTCTGTGTCAGAAGCCTGGTGCTTCTCTCTTGGCAGAGCTGAGCCCTCTCATTGCAATAGGGCAGCTTTGTCTGCAGGGCAGATGAGCCTTTTCAGTAATGAATTGTGTGGCTTAAAGAGAAATTTCAAGGTAAATCTTCCGTGAGACTTAATTATATTTTAAGTGAAATTTGATTTACAGCATGGTTTAAATTAGATTTGCCAATTTGGACTTCAATGCTTTATGGTTGTATAAGTAATGGTATATTTTTTTTCTTTCAACAGAGGTTGCGGAACTTGAAGCTAATTTACCTTGTAAGTACAGCATTCAATGGCATACATTTTAAGGGGAATAGGGCTGTTGATGTGATTATTTTGACCAAAGTATGAATGCTAATGATGTGTTAACTGTGGGGCAAGCTGTGCCAAACTCTGCTGGCCTAGGTTTGAGCAGGCTTACTCTGCCCTCTCTTAAGGTGTTGCAGAGATGTAGATCCTTGCTAGTGTCCTTTGGAAGCAGCATTGGTCATTCAGTTACATGACACAACTTGGTTGCTGGTAGAGTGGGAATTTCCTTCTCATAGAACACTCTGGAGCTGAAGAGCACACTTCTTACCTTGCTCCTGTTTCTCTTCTGGTCTCACCTTATTTCAAAACCAGGAAATGCTCACTTAATAGCAGAGCAAATAGCTCAGGTCTCAGGAAACACATCAACCTGGTGCTTTTTCATTTCACATACAAGCTGTAGCCTAGTGTGCTTCTTAAATAGTAGATGTATTAACAAAAATAAGAATACTAATTAAAAAAAATATATTCCTTAAAAAGAAAGGCAAGATAATGTGCTTTTAGCCCTGGAATCTTACCTGCATTATGTTATCTCAGTATTGTAGGGGTTGGAAAGGACCTCTAGATATCCCTAAGTCTAACCCCCCCTGCTAAAGCAGGTTCCCTCAAGCAGTAGAATCCACAAACTCTCTAGACAGCCTGTTCTAGTGCTTGGTTAGTCTGACAGTAAAAAAGTTCTTCCTTACGTTTGTATGGAACTTCCTCTGTTCCAGTTTTTGCCTGTTGCCTCTTGTTCTGTTGCTGCTTGCCACCAAAAAGAGTCTGCCCCCATCGACTTGATTCCTGCACTTTAGATGTTTGTAAACAGCAATGAGATCCCCTTTCAGTCTTCTCTTGTCCAGACTGAACAGTCCCAGGTTGTTCAACTTTTCCTCTTATGGGAGATTGCTCCAGGTCCTTAATCATCTTTATTTCCCTCCATTGGGCCCTTTCTAGGAGATCCCTATCTGTTTTGAACTGGGGAGCCCAGAACTGGGCCTAGTGCTCCAGATGGGGCCTCACCAGGGCAGAGTAAGGGGAAAGGAGAACCTCCCTCAGCCTGCTGGCCACGTTCTTTTTAATGCAGCATGGGACACTGTTGGCCATCTTGGCCACAAGAGCACACTGATGGCTCGTGACCAACTTGGACTCCCAGGGCCTTCTCTGCAAAACTCCTCTCCAGCAGGTCAGCCCCTAATCTGTATCAATGCATGCATTTATTCCTCCTCAGCTGTAAGACTCTACACTTGCTGTTGCTGAACCTCATCAGGTTCCTCTCTGCCCAGCTCCCCAGTCTGTTCAGGTCTTGTTGAAGGCAGCACAGCCTTCTGGTATGTCAGCCAGTATCCACCCAGATCAGTGTCATCAAACGTTATGCTAAAATGGTTTATGGATGCTTTAAGATAGGTTTTGAAGAGCACAGGGTAAATGGCATATTGCTTCTATGAGCTGAGAATAGATAGTTAAAAATCATATACATGTTTTCTGATCCTTAGCTTCAGAGAGTTAGTTCTGTAACAGATAACAAAACACAAAGTCCTTCTGTAAAGGGCTCCTGCAGTTCTTTGTTGCTAAGGCTGAGTGTTGGTGGCAAAGCTGAGCTCTCTTTCCTCTCAAATTTTGACCAGAACAGCAGCACTCTGCCATCTCTGCATCAAAGTTACCACCCAGTCTGCTTGAGAGCAGTTCCAGAGCCTGTCACTTGCTCTACGTAACTTCCAGCCATCCGTGTTCATATTTCAGAGTAATCTAAGACACTTCCCCTGCAGGGAAAGAGGTGTGAGCTGCTTGCTGCAGTCTGAAAGCATGCATGCAGGCTACTGCCAGGCTGTGCATTCACATAAGGGTGAACGTGCCTTGCTCTTATGCTTATCTTTCAGAGAAAAGTGGTGAATATTCTCTTTGATTATGCTGGCAGATAACCCGTAATGTGTCTGGTCTTCTCCATCTGAGGGAAGCTTTGGCCATTTTTTTCCCTCTAGGTTAGACCTCTGCTGCTTTTCCTGAGCCTCCTCTGTTTGCTAATGCCTGTAAATCCAGATCAGCTGTCAGATCTCAAAAATCAGGCTTCTCAGCATGCAGGCTGCCTGATAGGAGGAATTAGGGGGGAAAAAACACAGAATAGAAGCAGCTAAAAGGGATAATGTGAAGCATTATCGTTTTCTTTCTGTATGCTTCTCTTTCTAGAAGACAATTATAGAGATTTTTTCACAGTAGTTTTTGGTTTTGTTCAACTTTTTGCTTAGTCTCTTCTATAAGATAACATGAGAAATGGATTAAAATAGGATAATGTTTAGAAATGTATATCAGGGTTTGTGGCTTTTACAGTGTGAATGCATTACTGGAGTGTGTGTGCAGCTGTAGGTATTTTTATAGGCAAATGGGATCTATGTATTTTTGATGCTGTGTAGCTTCTTAGTCAAGGGAGAAAAGTACAGCCAGCTTGGATGGATTCAGAAGCTAAAGGCTGCATTATATGGATAATAATGTATGCATGGTTGTACATAGCTTCTAGTGCCAGCTTGACAGCTTTTCTCTGCCATAATCAAAAAAGACCAGCTTTGTACATGAGAAGGCAACTTAGTTTGTGTCATCAGAGGCAAACAAAGGGCTGTTATGCTGTGAATTTGCATCTGTTGAACTGCTGCTGACTACTTTCATAACAGCCCCTGCACAACTTCACAGATGGATGTTTCCTCTTCTTTTTACTCTTGTTCTTCATTCTCATTATTGTCCTTAATTTCATCTAGTTTGAGAATAAAATCATCACGTTTGCTTTTTGATGCTGCTTCACTCTTAATAAGTGTAACTGCTGACTTAGAACTCAAATAGGACAGAGATGTCTGGTAGTTGCACACACACGTTTTGAGGCAATCTTTAATGTTGCATATGGCTGCAGTATCTGTTTGATTTCTAGTCATCTGCTGATTTATGAATGGTGTAGCAGCTTCAGTTGCAATTGCACTGTCTGGAGTGGTCAGTTCTCCACATTGAAGCAATTCCTGATTGTGAAGCCTTAGGTAGGGAGAAATGCTTGCCTCACAAGTTAAAAAGTGCACATTGCCAACACAGTGTTAGTTTTTCAATTGGCTTTTTAATGTAAAATTTCTGTAATACAGTTCACTATAAGGAGCACTAATGAAATGTAGATTCTTCCTTCTCTCCCTCTTCTGTGCAAAAGCCTGAAAAAGTAATTTACTTTCCATGAGCTCATTTTTGAAGGGCTAGGGCAAGGCTCTGGCAGCCTGTTATGGGTTTGAAACTTGCTTTTGGATGGAATAAAATAGGCTGGTTGTAGCACTCAGCTAGGCTGAGAAACAGCTTTGTTCAGTGTGACAGCTGAACAGCAGCTTCACTTTTCTTTTGGGTGAGGCTGTCAGTAAAACATGCTTCTAATTGCATCTTGCAGGTATAAATCCTTTCTAGCATAGAGCTGTGGTGGCAAGACTTCCTGGAAACTGCTTGTATGATCAAGTGTTAAAGATATGTGTTCCTGTTAGGGAATCTCTAAGGAAAGGATGCTGATTCTGTATGCTGTTTTCTCAGCTTATAGCTAGCATCCATATAGATTCCTTTGTCATTTTAGAGTATGAGACAACATGGTTTAGAGAAAGGAAATCAACTTCTCCCTCTCAGCTCAAAGAAGTTGAGTTACTGCAGGTAACCTATAACTGCATGGAGAAATGACACTTAGAGTGAAAGTGTGGGAAATCACTTAACTGGAACATAGGCATTAATCAGGGTGCTAATTCAGGTGATGTGAAAAATGATATATTTGTTTTCTCAACAGTGGACAAACAGTTATCTGATGCAAATTGTTCTTTTGCTTAACAGGTACATGTAAAGTGAATTTTCCTGACCCAAACAAGCTTCATTACTTTCAGCTAACTGTAATCCCAGGTAATTTTCTAAACCTATAGCTTTTGCTTCTGTATGTGTTGCTGTGGTGGAAACACAATTCAAGGACTACAAAATATGGTAAACTTTCTAGTCAAAGACAGCTATAATGCAGTGATGTTTTCATAGGGGCAGTGGGAAAATTGGGCTGGGTTTTGAGAACTACGTTGCAATAAGATTGCTATCAAGATATAGCAAGTTTAGCAAGTATTCAAGTCTTGTTGGCTCATTTTGATTGAAAACATTTTACTGAGCCTATTTCAAGTCATATATTTGAAAAAAAAAAAAAAAGAAGCTTGGACTAAGTCTAGAGAAACTATTTTATTACAGCTCTGTTGAACTCCAGATTTATTCCTATTTATATATACAGATTGCTCGATTCTGTAGTATTTAAAAGGCAGGTGATGTAACACTGCTGGAAAACTTCAAATCTGTGCATATCTGAAGATGCCTAACAAGTGGGAGTCTCTTGGTCTTTAATAATTCATGTGGAAGTTAAATCTTTTAATATGACTTAAGTACACTGCTGGCATATTGGTCAGCAAAAACAGTCACGAAATTAATTTGAGCATTCATCTTTTCCATGTGAGATTCTTAATAGTAATCAGAAATTATGGAGTTTGCTCATATTTTGGATTAGAAAACGATGTCTGTTGTGGATGGATTTGCATGGAAGATCATCTATTTAAATGTCAGGCATGCTTTTATTGCAAATCATCTTTGAGACTGTGCAGCAGTTCAAATGAGGACACTGACACAAGCAGTGCACTGAAATGCTTTGAGTTAAAAGCATTGCAACCGAGCTCTCTTGTGCCAGCAAGTTCTTATCGGTGTAGATTTCCTGTAGATATTTATCAACAAGGATTTGCATGTCGTATGACAGTCTTTGAGACGTCTTACCTATGCAAATAACGCTTTACAGTTTGTAGGGTTAGAGGAATATTTTTGGCAGTGTCTTGATAGGAAATGACCGCTAGATGTCGGTGTTGCTTTTTCACTAGCCCGAACCGACCGGCACTTCCTTGGCAGTAGGAATCCTGGGTGGTCTTTGCTAATGAGTTCATTCGTCTGACTTCTTTTGGGTACAGAAAAATGAGTGATTTTCCTTGTCACTATGCTAAAAAAAATAAAAAAAAATAAATAGAAGTGCTATTACTGAACTTTCTAACGTCTCATTCTATGCAGGAGATGTATTTGCATTTAATTAGTGAGCGTAGCCTGTTTGTAACAACTCATTGTCCTTCAGTTTAAATGATACTTGCTTGTTATGTTTTGGAAATGAGATGATTTCACAAGATCATCACAGTGCAAGTCAGGAATGTCCTCGAAGCAAAAGTGATAGACAGCTTCTTTGTACTAATTTTAAGGCATCTAAATACATAAGGTTTTTTGGTCTATTAACTGCTGTGCAAGCTGTTGCAGTTGGAAGACAATTGCTGAATGCAGTGCATGGTTTTTGTGCTAGCTTTGTTAAACGATCTGGAGAATGAGATGATCTTAATGAACATTTTGTTGCTCCCAATATAGCTGCACAGCTGAAGTGGCTGCAGTTGTAGCCTGCCCAAAGTAAACATCTATTTTCAGCTGTGCATAATTCAGGTACAGAATCTTGTGATCAGCGACAGCTTGGCACAGCTCTCTCAGTGCAGAACACAACACATACCAAGGAAATCACTGCAGTTTTCTGATTACCTTTGGAATATGCTAAATCTCAGTTTTCTCTGAGGTGACAGAGAGGCAGCAAAGTTGTTGTCTCAGAATGTTTCTGGCTCAAATGGGGAAAATTCTAGATTGGAGACAACCGTTTTTTGTAGTGCCCAAACAGCGTTGCATGAATGTGGATGGGGAGAAGGGCTGTTCTTCCTCATCCTGCCTGGAAGTGTTTCTAGCACTGCACAACCAAATTACTTCTAGAAATCTTCATCGTATAAAAATTGTTATTTTGACCTGTGCTTAAGAAGTTCTGATTCCTTTATGATATGGCAGTGCACAATGAGAGAATGTATAGCAGCACGCATTAGAAAAAGAGTAAAACAGATTTTACAGCCACAATGGATAAACTGCTTGCTACTCAGACAGATGCTGCTGCTGGAATTGTGTCATATCCTTGTGTCATATCAACCAATTTTTTCTGTCATTGAAAAATGTGCTCGTGGCACCACTTGCCTCTGTTCCTATTTTGGTATCTGTACCTTATTGGATCAAATGCTAGGGAAAATAAGGAGATGGATATTTGCAACACGGAGTCCTGCCTCTGCACTGGTATTTGAAGCACGGAATTTGAAGCTGAAAGTGAAACATAGTAATGACCTGGGCAGAGGGGAAAGGTGAGTTTAGGTGACTTATACATGACGAAGACTAGAGGAATGCATAGAGTTAATTAATGTTGTTTCCCATGCAGTTCTATAGGTTAGGGTTAGCTTGATTATTTTAGTCACATTCTTCAGGGAATTAACAAAATGCCCATTTTCTGCTTTGCATACCATAAAATGACAAATGTCAATGAGCATGGATGAGCATTTCAGTGCTTCCGATTCAAGGAGCTGATATCAAATGCACATCCTTTGTGGCCTGTCCTAATTATCTTACATTTTCTTTTAAATGTAAAATAATTTTGTATCTTCACTGTGCATTTTACCATCAGTACATCTCACGAACACAGATTAGTATTAGGCTGTTAGTAAAGAAACTTGAGACTGCAGTAGGAGGAATGTTAATGTAGCTTGAAGACATAAATTTAAGCAGGAGACACAAACTGGAGCTCAGACATATTCAATTCTTGGAAAAAATCTCCTGTAAATGGACAAGTTATGAGCTAAAACTATTTTAATTAGCTCTTTCATTTACAGTGCTTTGCTTACTATTAGCTTTGCCAGAACTTTAGTTCTTTCCAGCACTGTTACGTGGCTGAAAGATTGAGGGGTTTTGAGTCTGTATGGGGGCAGGGAAGGGAATAAAACTGCAGGTATTGGAAGGGACCTTGGACTATTGTCTAATCCAACCCCCTGCTAAAGCAGGTTCCCTAGAGTAGGTTACAGTAGGAGAGCATCCAGGTGGGTTTTGAATATTTCCAGAGAAAGGAACCTCCACAGCCTCCTTGGGCAGCTTGTTCCAGTGCTCTGCTGCTAGTTACAGGCCTCCAACTAGACTGCACCATTGACTGCAGCCTTCTGTGCTCTGCCAGTCAACCAGTTTTCAATCCACCTCACTGTCAACTTGTCTGTCCCACAGCTCTGAAGCTTACCTATGAGAGTGTTGTAGGAGACAGTGTCAAAACCCTTGCTGGGATTCCTGAGGGTCAGTCTTAGTAAAGTCTGAAGCAAAGCAAGCATTCAGCAACTCTTCCTTCTCAGTGTCCTCATTACCAGGCACCCACCTTGTTCACCAACAGGCTTACATTTTTCTCCAGCCTTCCTTTTGCTATTGATATATTTAAATAAGTGTTTCTTGTTGTTCTTAATCTCCCTTTCCAGTGGGCCTCAGCCTTTGCCTTCCTCATTTCATCCCCTCTAGCAGCATTACTGTGTTTCTCTCAAGTAGTCAGACTCCTTTTCTACATTTCATAGAATTTCTTCCATTTGAGGTCTTGCATGAGTCCTGTGCTCATCCATACAGATCTCCTGCCACTTTCGTGATTTCTTACTCCTAGGTTTATACTGATTTTGAGCTTGGAAGAAGTGGTGTTTGAATGTCAATCAGTTCACATGGGCCTTCTAACCTGCACTGTTAAATGCCACGTCTGGAGTGCTCTAGGTCTTGCAGAGATTTCTCAGAAAACAAAAGTAATACAATAAGAATTTCTTGTGGCCTGTGGAACTGCTAATATGTGGTTAAAAAGTGTTTGAGCTAATCTAAAACAAGCTTTTTGCCAAGGAAAAGGAATATTCTTTCATTGTCTGGTCCTGCTGTACCTCTTGCACTAATTCCAGTTCTCGTTTCACCCATTTGTACACCAATTTGTCTCATTAATCCAGTGGGATGCACTGCAGTCTTTTTGCCATGATGATTTCATGCAGCTTTGTCTGATTTCCACCTGCACATGGTTGCTGGGAGTTCCTGCATGGGCTGGGTGAGTGTGGAGCTGCACTGAGCTGTGTCTGCCTGATGGTGAAGAGGTGGAGAAAGTGAAGAACAACTCTTCACCCTTTTTTTTTTTTTTTTTCCTATCCCTGTGCAGTTTCTGAGCAATGTCATCAGCAGTCTTGCTGCCCGTGCTTTTAAATGAGTACCAGCTTACATGTTCCTGCAGATGGAGGCTGTGCCTGGTGTTTTCAGTGAGCAGAGATGCAGAGTGTGGCTTTTCTCTTGCTGTTCAGCTGGCAGCACTCTGACAACCTTCTGGCAAGCTGTCTTTCCCTGGAGCTGTTCTTGGGTATTTTTGTTTTTGAACAATTGGATTACAGTGAAGATTGATTAAATCTGAGGATTTTCTTTGACATAAGACACATGTAGACATACCTATTTTGCATTAGCAGGGGTAGAATGTGAAGGACTGCTGTGTGCTACACTCCAAGACCATGGAATCCAGGAACTATTGAAATTAAGCCAATGAAAAATAACTTTTTTGTGCTGGGCTTCGTGAGCAGCCTTCACAGAGGTGCTGTTTCTCCTTTGCCTTACAGCAGCCTTATTTCTCCCTGTGCAGACATCACATTGCATGTGATAGCTTCTCATGGAAGGTTAAGGCTGGAAAAGACTTCTGAGATCATATCATCACCCCCAAGGTTGTTTTCCTCTTTGCAGCTTTCCAGCCTCTCTGTCCCAAGCCTATAGCATTGCATGGGGTTGTTGTAACCAAAGCCTGGCATTTGATTTTGTTGAACCTCATCTCATTGGCCTTAGCCTACCCAGATCCCTCTGCAGGACCTTCCTACCCTCAGACTGATCAACACTTTCAGATGACTTGGTATCATTTGCAAACTTACTGAGAATGCATCAATCCCCTCGTCCGGATCAATAAAGTGATGTTGAGAAGTGATAGCTTGAGTGCTTGTGAACCAAAGAACACTGATGGAAGACTGATCTGCATGGTTAGGACTGTAGCAGGCACTGAAGAGATTGGTATTGTTTGTTTTGTCTCTGCTCAGTGAAAGACCTGTGCATTTATTTCTTCCAGCTGTGATTTTTACAAGGAGTGGCATCACACTTGGAAACAGTGAGGATTCCTGCAACTTGGTTAAATAGATTTTACAGTGTGTTGAGTGGTGAATGAAGTGCAGTCAGCTGCATCCTGCAGGGTTGCTCAGTGGTGACTGTGCTGTTTGAGCTCCAGGTGGAGCATTGAATCATTTCTATAATGGTTCTTTCTTAAAACAACATCTTGCTTTGAGCGTCTGGCAAATCTGACAGAGAGCAGTTTCATCAAAAGGATATTTGGTGTTATTCACCTTTATGTTTGATTCTTCAGAAACGTTTTGATTTTTATCTCCAGTACATTTGAATGCAAAATATAAATGCTTTGACTTTTGTATTTTTTATCCCATCAAAACTAATGCATGTGCAGTTATGTGCTGATAAAGCACAGCATCATGCCTGAGAAGTCTGCTTAATAAATTAAATGCACTTCACAATTGAATTGGAAATGAAGGATGTATTTGAAAAATGTGTACTCTCAGGCTATTAATGTGAGATTTGCACTGGGTAGGGCTGGCAGTTCCATGCAGATGTCTATGGGATGACCAAAGGTTTGGGTGGGCTGGGTGCTGGAAGCCAGCAGTTCTAGAATGGAGGCAGCCATAAACCTGTTTGGGATGGGAAAGATCAGCCATGCTCTGTTTCCATGCTCTGGTAGCACTAGATGTGGGAAGGGGACAGGTCTAGAAGGCACCATGTCATCCCAGGTGGATTTTGGTGATTTATAGTACAAGAGCTAGAAGCATTTTGGAAGCTAGACAGATAATAAGATAATAAGAAATGTCTCTTTTTAATCTTTCTCTAAAAGACGGATTGCTTTGCCAAGCTTTCCTTTGCAACGTTGTTTTTAAAAATTGCATATTAAACAGTTGTATGAGGATAACCAACCTCTCCTGACTATCAATTCTTTGCTATGGCTGCACGATGTGATGCAGAGAACAAGAATAATGACAAAACTCTGTAGTTGCAATGCTAGACGGACACATATCAGATTGCTTGCAAGCATTTCAGCATCCAAGCATAGCCATCTCAGGAATTACAGCCTGTTATCTATTGTCTCTGGTTACATGCAACTAGATATGTTCAGAATTCATATTTTACAATTTAGCACTTTTCATAATTCAGTATTGGATCTCAGGAGAAGCAGGCAGATTTTCTTAACTGGTGCATCACCCATTGTGAGATAATTGTCAGTCAAAAGACCTGAGTTGCTTTTTTATTGTAGTACACATGCTCTTAGCACACCATTATTCCTACTGTGACAGTAATTGCTGGTGCAAGTCTGAGGGTGCTGTGGTTAAAAAGGATTTAGAATGCATTAGCAGCAAGGTGTGTATCCAGCTCTTTGTTTTTGGAGTTGGAGGCAGCTGGTGCTTTCGTGTTTGGGTATTTGGTGATGACCTGAGGCTGTTATTTGAATCTCACTAATGACAGATAATTTGTATAACATAGGATTGGTTATTTTCTCTAAGTTAACTATTTTAATATTTGTGGTTCTTCTTTTTTACTAGATGAGGGCTATTACCAAGGTGGAAAATTTCAGTTTGAAATTGAAGTTCCTGATGCCTACAATATGGTGGTAAGTATCTTATCATTGGTCTGCAGGTAGTTACATTCCCTTTCTGTATATAAGGACTTCAGAGGGAAGTTGGCAATGAGTCTAAGAGAGGGTCTTCTCTCACTTGCTAAAATACCATCAAAATATAGGACAATCTGGTTACTGGAACTCTGGTAGTGCAGCATCTGAAACCAACATTATTCCTTAAAGAAAAAAAAGCTCTGGCACAGGATGCTTGGAAGTGCAAACAGGGAGTCAGACTGTTTGGCTGAGGTTCCACTCTCATCTGTTCTCCCCTGGTAATTATTTTTGAGACCTTATCTTGATTATTCTCACCAAAAAAAAAATAGTGTCTAGAAGAGAGAATTATACAACTGAACAGAAAGAAGTCTTTGCTTTTTATTTTTATGGGGCCTTCAACTTGTGCTTATATTTCTGCTATTGGACTGCAGTGCTTAATTCCCTTTTAGAGGGTGCAGTGGAGGACATGGAAAGTGCAGAGATGGTGGCAAGCGGCCTTTGGTGCACTCCACCAATTCTGCTGGTTGTCTCCCAAACTGCTTAGCTATCTATAAAAAAAAACAACTTATTTCAATGGTAATTAAACAAGCAGCTTTTCAGAGGACATCCACGTGATAACAGTTTCTTATTATAGACAAACAGAATGCCCCAAGGAACTTGCTCTTTTTGAATATGAGAAACATTATTGCTTTGTTTTACTCTACTAAAATTACAGACTGTGGCAAGAGAGGAGGAGGTACAATTACAATAAAAATAACTTCAGACATTGTTTTCAGAGTTTAGCAGTGTGTAGGAAGCAGACTCCAAAAATGGAAACTCCAAAAATGGAAAACAGGTGGGGCATATGTCTGGTTCTCATGAATTACTCTTGGTCTTCTGTGTTCTGATGATATGTAGGGAAATTATATTCATTTGAGCATTTAAATTGCAATAATTGCATGCAGAGGTATGAATTGTGGAAGGAAGTAAGCCTCACTTTTAGTTTGAACATTTTTGATTTTGCTTGCATTCATAACTTTTTCTTACATCTTACATCTTTTCTTACATCTGACATTTGATGTTATTATTTGAGAGGTCTTCTTTCAGAGAAGCTGAAGAATGAGTAGGAGAGGATAGCAGAGAAATGTGTCTGAGAAGACATTTGACTTGGGTTCAAATGAACCAAGCCTAAATTCAGCATCATATATGTGCAGTGGCTGAGTCGCAGCACTGTTTTTTTTTTTGCAGTATACATATATACACAAAGGAGGAGCAGCAGTCTGGAATGGAATGGCCTGAATTCTCAGACTGAGCTTGAGGAGCTCCAGTGGGGTAGAAAAGATCTGTCTCTGGGAGTGGGGGAACTGGGCAGGCATTCCAGAACATGCCTTCATAAGTTCCCTAATATTCCTGGTGCTTATAATCAAGGGGGCATGCACTATATTTTTGTAAGTGGAGGACCATAGTTATTTCTGAATCAGCTCAACTTTCCATTGTCACTGGTCTAGAGATGAACAACCCTTAGCAGTATTTTAGCTATCCAGGTATCTGAGTTAAGTGGTAGCAATCTCAGGTCCTGCACAGCTTCAGGGAATGGGTTTTGATCTTTGTTCACAGCTTTTTCTCTTCTTGACTGTTTTCCTGGGAATTATTGATAAGAATAAAGAGTTTTTCTTTGGAAATCGTGAACTCTGTTGCAGTTCAGTGTTTTATTCCTTTTATTTTATTATATAACCAAACCCTGGATCCTGCGTGTCCTTCTAGGTAGGTTCTTTTAGTACATCTAATGTTTGCAGTTGCTTTTTTTTTTATAAGTTCCCTATCTAACCTCACCAGAGGACTTCCCATGGTGACACTTTCATACACGCTATGAACATACTGTAAGCACAAAAATTGCATTCTCCTTTCAATGTGAATGAACTGTGCCATCAAAAATACCTGAAGGTGGCATTCATGGCAGAAGGGGGAACCCTCCCATATTCTCATCCATCTGACTTTTTAGTCATCATCAATAAAGCAGTTTAACCACTGTGGCATTGCTGAGTACAAGGAGAAATACACAATACGTACTCATTTAAATTTCTTCTATTATCATGTTTAAGGCATTCATGTAAACAACTCTTGCAGGAAAGGACTTGCTTCATGGTAACGAGAGCACAGGATGTTAATTTAGTTATGTTAAATTGCTAAAATTGTAACTGAAGAGGAAAAACTTGGTAAGCTTTGTGTTGCGAACAGAAATTGATGCGTTCTGTTCTGTCAGGGAAGCAAAGCACTGGAGGTAATAGTGGATCTGTGAGCATAAGGCACTGACTTGTGTCACCTAGGCTGTGCAGTCCCTCAGGGCAAAGATTCAAGGGCTTGACATGAGGAAAGGATGCTTTGGGACGAGCTCTGCTATGAATTGCTGCCTCTTGCTTGTGCCCAGAGCACGCAGCTGGTTGATCAGGCACTCCTGCATCACTGAACTGCTGTATGTGGTACTGGAAATGTTTGTGATGATTATCTGTAAGGCAGTAAAATATTATAAGGGCTCTTCCGCTATATCCGTAATTAAAACTACTTAAGCTGTTGAAGAGATGGATAATTTTAGAAGCATCTGAGCTCGAGAACAGGAAAAGGTTTTCATTTCTAATCAGTTACTGGGTGTGCAAGAGGGATTGTTCAAATAGATCTGTGCTGCATTGCGAGAGGTAATTTGTGTCACACTGCTTCTGCAGGCTGACACGATGCATTTCACTGTGCTTTGCAGGCAGGCTAAAGAAAGGGAAGAGATCTCATCAAGGACTTGTTTTACCAAGGACTTCCTTTAAAGCAGTGTGTTTCCCAAAGAGGGGAACTCTTTTGGGCACTGCAGATGTGCATTTTCCTGTTGGATCATCTCAGTGATGAGATGATGTTACTGAGTTAATACTGCTAGTAATGTTAGCACTACTACAGAACAATCTTAACATTAGAAGTGTCTTTAAACTCCCACGTTGGAAATGGGGCCTGTGTAGGTAGTTCTGGTCATCCTTTTCCTGAGGCTTCTGAGCAGACGGTCGGAGGTGATGCTTCATGCAGCCCTAAGGAAGGAAGCAGAGCTGGTCACGAGGACACCAATGCATGCACATGGTCCTCAACTAACACATCTGCTTTCCAGGAACTGTTGGGGTGAAAAGCATCCTGAAAGGAAGAATTCATCCCATACGTGACCCAAAACTATCTCCAAAAAGGATTTGTGCGTGTCAGATCTGTTCCTCCTATAAGTATCTGATCTGGGCTGGCTGATTTTTGGAGCAATAAGAAAACGCTCCATCTTCAGAATCCACGCTTGGATCCAAACTCTTGTAATCACTCTGATTTCCCTTCTTGGCCAAGATTTTCTCAATTCCTATAGCACTGTTGTGGGCATCACACACAAACTGGTAGTCTTGAGCTCTTGATGTCTTTCAGACTCTGTGCAGCTTTTCCCATAAATAATGCCAATGTTCTGAATACAAAAAGAAAGGAAAAATTAATCCTGGGAGACCTTTCCCCCCTCTAAAGTTGAAGCAACTCTGAAAAGATACTGTGCCGATGCAATTAATGGTATTGATATTAGTTATAAAGGGTTTTTCAATGGCACTGGAAGTCTTTAGAAGGTTCACACTTAATATTACCTATTCTTTGAGCTGCTGGGATGTTGTGTAGGAGGAGAAAGCAATTGGATATGATGCAGATGTTGCAGTAGTGTCAGGAGAGCAGCATAAGTTAATTCTTAGTGTCTCCTCAAACTGTGATGCTGTTAGAAACTCTGAAATCTGTTTGGTAATACTGTCACTTGGCATTTAAAAGGCATTAAAAAAAATGCCTTTTAGGAAATAAGCTGTACGCTCACAATCATTGCATGCAGCAAACAGAAGCTTGCCAGCGTTTGTGCCTACAAAAACCTCCGGGAATGTTGTTGTCACAGACATCAGAGGGAGCTGTGAAGTGGCAAGCAAATAATGGAGTGCGCAGCAAAGCCTCCGGTGCCAAGTGCTGACCTCTGTCTCTGCAGCATCTGTTCCCCAAGCACTGCTTTTTTTGGTTGATCAGCTGCCCAGAAACGAGTCAGTGAGAGAGGGGATCAATTGTTGCTGTTGGTTGTTTTTTTTTTTTTAAATAATAGTAATCTATTGATCGGGGGATGTCTTGATTTAAAACAGCAGCAGCAAAGGAAAAAAACAACCCTTTTCTTCCTTGAGGTGCAGCTGATTGCTGCAGGACTGGGGACCTGATGCTTTAAGGACTCAAGCCTAGTTAGTGGTAAAGGTAGCAACACAAAATCAGTTTTCCAAGGTTTTTATGACCTTAGGCAGAGGTTGGAAGCTGTGAGTTTAACAGCAGAGCTGCTGCTCTTAGACCTCCTCCTTGCAAGTATCTCAGCTGTGAAACAGCAGATGGAAGGGGTTGGAATGGTGAAGAACTGGATGATAGTCCCTTAGTCATGACATTAATTCTCTTTGGTGTCCTTGCTGGAAAGGATTGGTTAGACACAGCATTCCCATGTTAGCACACTTGTCACATCAGTGTGATTTGGCTTGCCAAACCAATCAGGGTCTGAAAACAAGTTCACATCCTCGTTGATGCTTTATATCCAACCTCTGATTCAGTGAGAATAACATGGGAGAGATTGTTAGCAACATCCTTAAAGAAAAGGGACAAACTTGATAAAAGCTTGTTCTATAAAATTAAACTACGGTGAAGTCAGTTGAGAGCAGTAATGGAAGCAAGGATGGTTCCATGATAAAAACTCACAAGGGATCCGAAAACATAAGCGGCTGCTGAGAACTGCAGAAGAAAATAACTCAGATTGCTGCTGTGCCCTGTGGTGAGAGTGGATCTGCACGTTATGTCTTGCAGAGTCTGAAAAGAAGGATGAACTTACGAGCAGTGAAATAAATGGATTTTCTAAGCTTTGCTGTCACATCCGTGACCTGGAGATGGTTTGAGGCATTCGAGTGAAGCATCTCAAGGAAAGCTTGTGTGGATTTGTTGATGTAAGGAAGATTCAAAGATAGCTTGAAGCAAAAACTCAAAGGAGAATTTGGCTGAAGCTAATTTTTATGGTAGTGCTGCTGTTGTCCTCGTCTGTCTGTAAAAGGAGAAGAAGGGGAGAGAAGGAAAACCTTTATCTTACTGTCAGCAGTGGGTTTCTCTTATTCTTAGAGATAAGAAGCACTTTGGTTTGTGGTGAAAGGATAAAAGATTTGTTGCTTTTTCCACATTACAGAAAACCAAGGTGCCAATTATTTCTCTCTGAATGACTGTAGATTTGGGAGTTTCTTGTAACGGTTTAGTTTGTATTAAACTTACTTCTTCTATTCATCAGTACATTCTCTGTTGGAAGGCACGTAAGGAAAAATCTGCTCTTTTATCTGGAGTCACCAGGTGGAATAAGTACTGCTGCTTTCCTCTATTTTTTTTTGAGAACTAGGCGTAATCTTTCAAAACAATACGAGGGTGTAGCTGACGCTGTCAGAGAACTTCTAAGGTGAACGTTTGTGGATTTGGAAGGTAAAAAGTCAGACTTTTCTGCATCCCACTCATTATTCAGTATTACTGCGATCCGGCACTGCCACAGGTGCCTCCTGAGGGCTGAGTGTTGAGCAGCAGTTTGTGAATGTTTATGGAGAAAAGCTGATGTCTGTGCTACGAACTGTAGATGTGCTTTGGTGATGATTTCTTTAAGTGCTGGGCAGGCATATTCTCAGTAGGTTGGTATCACGTGTGCACTCTTACCTTTTCTCCAAGGAGCTGGGCTGAGTGGATAACATCTAAATACATTCCTAAGATGATGCTGGAGGATTGAGAACAAAGCGGTGAGACAAAACACAGCATGCTGCTATGCAGATACAGCTGTTAGAGCTGTTTTCTCTCTTGACTGAAGACTTCTTGGGAAGCAGTGGGGGAAAATAGCTCCACATTTATAATAGCAGATTTAATTGAAGTTCTGAAAGGTACTGGTCTGTGTTGGTCTTACAGTATGGCTACTGTAAGAAATCATCTGCCTGATTGAAAGCTGCAAATCGTAATTTGGAGAACAGGGATGGAATAAGGTGCTGTTGCTAAGCTACCAGCATTTTTATGACCTGCTCTTTATTTACTTCACAAAACTAGAGCTGTATTTTAAGAATCCTTGTCTCAGAACTCGCCGTCTAATTCAACATTCCGGTGACCTTACCTAAAAATAAGTCAGGTAGCTTTTACATTAGCATCTTCAGTTTGGATACGACTGCCCTTCTTTATACTCCTATCCAGCTTTGAACAGGAGCTGACATGCTGAAACAGTGCTTAAGAGACTAACCTGGTTTTGTTTTGTTATCCCTGAAGGAGACGAGAGGAGAATGAATTTTCTTGTCTTTCTTTTAAATCATTTTTTCCGAGGAAAAACCCCATCATTAGTAAAGAGTAGAAGGAAGCTAAAAGGACAGAGAAAGCTGGTGTACCTCCTGCAGTTACATTGTCAGGATCTTTAACTTATGCTGTGAGCAGCAAATATATTTCCCTTTTCAGTTCTGTGATTTGTAACCGTGATTTGGCTTTATTTTGAAGAATAACACTGTAATTTGTTTTCTGTCCTGGCAGCCTCCGAAAGTAAAATGCTTGACAAGAATCTGGCATCCAAACATCACAGAGACAGGAGAAATCTGCTTAAGGTAGCAACAGCATTCTTTTTTTTTTTTTTATCCTGATGGTCTTTCTGTGTGATGAAATGTTGTATGTAATTTTCAAGTCACTATTACTTTTGTCAATGGTTTCTAGAAATCAGACCACTATGTGACACTTAAGAACATAGAAAACTACAGAAAGTGTTGTTTTTGCTGTGCAATAGGTGCTGGGTAGAACCTGGCTCTTCAGTTTCAGACTTAACTTTAAGTTTTGTTTAGGATAAAAGTGTAACATCCAATCTGGACACAACTTCTTCCCTTTCCCCCTTTCCCTCTTGCCCCCCTTCCTCCTTTTTCCCCCTTTTTCCTCTCCTCATAGGTGAATAATTTTCAGGCCCTGAGAAGGCTGAAGGCTTTGCTCTATTAATGCCTATATGAGCTTAGTGCTTGGAAACTGTTTTTCAGAAAGGAAAAAAAAATCTGTTTAACTTTACAGTAACTATTCTATATTTATTTATTTTCACATATAACATCTACTGAAAGAGAGATGCTGGTTATAAGAAAACAGAGTTGGGGGAACATAAGGTAGGGTATGAAGCCCAAAAGCTGACCTTTGCCAAAGGGACACAGCTACACTGCTGGCAGGTTTTTCCTGATAGTAAATGTTTCCTCTTCAAAATCAGTTCCAGAAACTTTGTGATTTCAGTGTTTCATCTTGTGTACCCAATGGTGAAATTGGCTAGAAGCTGAACATAAACAGAAGTGAGAAGCAGGACTGTCATTTCTCAAGTTAATGGGACATGAAAGAAATACTAAATGAAGCATAAGCGATGGAAATAAGTAAGATTGAAAGCTGTTCTGAAAATCCAAAACAGTTGCCACCACATGTAGCAAAGCAGTGCTTAAAAAGATACATTTTGTGTGTTTTATATTTTAGATTTGAAGTACAAGGTCCTCATGCAAACAAAGCTTTCACAGGGAAGCCTTTCTCTCTTGGTGGGCAGCTCTGGCTCATTGGTTGGTAGCAGCTGGAGAGCTGATATCAGTGTTTTTAGCCTTAGTGGTGTGCTCCATGCTTCTGAGAAGCTGGTGCCATTGGAGGGTGGTGGTGGAAACTTGGTCAATGGAGAGAACCTGGATGCTGTTAGCCAAAAGCTGAAGTAAAGGCCAGGAATAGATGAAGTGTTTAGAACCAGTGAACAGGAAATACTGGCCACCAACAGATAGGTAAAAGTTTAAGCTTTGACTATAGTGCTGTATCTTTTGAGATTAAACAAAGCCTCCTCGCACTCTTGAGGATGTTTCAGTGTGTCTGTTCTTCAGATGATTTTAATTATGTCAGACAAATGCAGTGTTGGAACATCCTAATTCTGGTTAATGAAGTGAAGTCATTTCTTTGGCGTCTGCACTCAAATGTCAGCTTTATTTGATTGTCAGATACTTAAGCACATCAAACCTTTGAAATGTCTTACCATTTAGATGGGAAATCTAAAATAACCCAGACTGCTCTATGCCTGCTATAATGGAGAATACAATCTATATATAGTACCTGCAATCAGCTTCTGTCAGAGTCTTCATATAGAAATATCTTTGGGTACTTATTAAAGCAGAAGTAATTCCTTATCAGTATTTTTCCAGCTGTTCTCTTTTGAGCATACCTTACACCACGGTGTGTAATCATTCCTAATTAAAACACAGTAAATGATTAAACTTGAGTCAAGTGTAATAGATTGGGGCACAAAAAGCATTCTTGCAGTCACTCAAATTAGATCTGGACCATACTTGTGGATGTTGCTTGGAAACACCAAGATATCTAGAAAGAATATGCTTACTACATACACCAGTTCATGATTTTCCTAATAATAAAACTTCTAATACATATCCCTGATTTTATTTTAGCTCTGTTGATGTGACTTCCCTCTCTTTGGCTTTTTTTTTTCTCCTTTGTAGCTGTGCTTGTGCTCTGTGGTGAGAACACAAAATGTGGTTTCTCTAGGCACCCTGTGCTGGGGAAGGGCTTTGGTTAGGGGCAAAATGATTGTTTGTGATCTATAGGAGGAAAGAGGGTGCTGCTCTCAGAATGGGTTATATCAGCAAATCAGAAATACGAGGCAGAGCTGCACTTATCTGTCTGCATTGCTTTCCTGCCAAAGCTCCATGAGGAATGAGTGTCTTCTTTTCAATCCTGGCTGCTGAGCATCCCCAGCTGGAGATTTGCATAGAGAGAGAGGCTTTGGGAGCTGCAGGGGTGTTAATGAGGTTTGGCTGGTGTTCTCAGGTGCTTGGGAGTCAGTTGATACTTGCATGCTTTTTTTGTATGTGCTCACTTATTCTTAGCTCTTAAGCTCACTGTGGGCTGTATGGTAAAGTAAAGGGAAGTACTGCAGCAAAACTTTAAGGAGAAAAAAAAAGGCTTATAAGGTGCATTATTTCCTCAAAACCTGAAAACCTTGGCTCTTCTTTGTTCAGCATCATTTTTGCTTGTTCTTTAATAAAATGAACAAAAATAAAAGCCCAAACGTTGTTTTTTTTTTTAATGTTTTTGAGATTAGTTTTGGGTAGTATTAGTGGTAGAGGCACATTTTATCTTTTCAAAGGCACTGAAATGGGATTAGCAACGTGGTTAAGATGGGATACTTGGTTCATTCATCTTCTTTCTAGACTCTTAAAGGGAATATGAAATACTGCAAAAAACCCCCCTGCAAAATGAATAACTTTAGAGTATTTCACTTTAACCCTATCATGCTAGCAGTAGAAGCTATTGCTACAAATTCTTGTGCTTTGTTACCTTGCTGTGTGAGTTTTCAGTTTTAGATTGCTTCTTAACAGAGGAAGTCAATTCTGAAATGATGCTTACAGGAGTTTCTCAGATTATTAACTTTGCTTTCATGCACATGAGTGGGACTTCTGCTTTTCTCAGTTTTTCAGCACTTGTGTTTCTTAGTTATGCTCCAGTCTCCAATACTTTTACTCCTTGTGTCTGATGATGTTTTTACCTAAGAGTTCCAGGAGGGTCCGACCGACTGAATACACCTCAACTCTTTCATCTTGTAAATGGGTCAACAGTTTCAGTGGCTTTATTACATAGCACAGTGTGCAGGTCAGGTAAAATTCATACACGTGCACGTAGGAAAGACCAGAGCTATTTCATTTTCCTATCCCTGATTTTAAGAAACTGCAGTCCTTGTACAGAAGAAAGGATGATAATAATCCTCTCTGATAAATAGATATCCCTCCAAAAAATATCCTCTTAGAGGGATTGAGATGTGCCAGATGTGGCAGGAGGCAGGACATGCTGCAGAACTGCCTGCTCACCACAGATGAGCATGTTTTGAAATGGAGCACATGTGTGAGTCATGCATTCAGGGGTAAATAAAGGCTCGGTGTTGGGACTGCCATAAGGACTGCTGTCACACTTCATATACTTAAAATAATTTGATTTTTGACCAAGCTGAGCTGTGTGAAGAATGTAATTCTTGAACAACATACCGATTTTTGTGCTTTAAAAAGTCCTGATGCTAGATAGAGTGCAAAAGAGGGATGTAATGCTAACATGGCAATTTCTTCCAAAGTTGTTAAAGCTTTCTGAGAAGACTTCTGACAAAGTTTCTCTAACTAGAAGTTACACTGTATAATATGTTTGTCTTTTTTTCAGTTTATTGAGAGAACATTCAATTGATGGCACTGGCTGGGCTCCAACTAGAACATTAAAGGTACTGTTTCCTTTTAGATACATACAGCAAACTACATAATCTTCTAAAATACTTTTATGGACTTGCAAGGAGTCAGATAAATGCAGTTTGCTCTAGGAAAAACTGTTGTGTTTTTTGTCTTTCAACAAGCTGGTGGCAATACTGAAACAATTACTGTGCTAACCAAATACAGAAATGTTGTCTATTTCTAGTGTGGCTGCTTTGAGTGATAACAAGTTTTTTGTGGGATGATATGATTACAGTGACCCTGAGAAACCATTTTCAGTAAGGGTGGTCTGATTTTTTGGTGGTCTTTCTACCCAGGCAACAAATAGAAGAGCATGCTGTGAGCAGGACTAACAGTAATCCATAACCCTTCCAATTTCCATTGTGTTGACAGTTCTGACAAGCCAACAGGCTGTCTTAAGAACATTTTTTCCTTGGAAGACTAAAGGGCACAATGCATTTGGGAGAAACACCATGTGGAACATAGAATTAAACTGTACTTACTGCTTTGCCTTGAATCGTGTTTCATCCCCAGTGTTGGAACTGGTGAGAAACACATCCACACTTCAGTACTGCAAAAGCAGGCTGCTCCTGCCTGTTCTAGTAATTCCAGCAGGGAAATAACTGCCTCTGCCCTGTAAGCTTGCCTTGAAGTCACATTACCCGAGTCACCAAATGTAAGTAGAATTTGCCCCTTATGAAGTCGATGGCAGTTTTGCCATCATGATTGCAGAATGGCATCTGAGGTCAGTCCCACAACAGCTGGGCAGTGTTAAAAAATTCAGAGCCGTAGTTCCTGGCTGAGATACACATCCTTTGTGACAGTCTCCCCAGGAGTGCCTCAGTGCAATGAGTGCTCTTGTCTCGATACAGAAAGCACTCCGTTGTCTGTGTGCTGCTCCATGACCTCGCTGTCAGAAGAGTCTTGCAGAGCACTGAGTAAAAATCTCTGCAGCTTTTACTAGGAAACCTGCTAGAATTTGTTCCTAAAGAGCATTAGCTAGGTCGATAATGGGTGAGCATGTCAGCTGTTTGTTTCTTTTCAAAAGCCAGATTTAGAATTTTTGTCTAACTATGAACGAGATCTGTGTCTTCCTCCTTTTAATCTCTAAAATCTCCTTATGAACTGTCTGATTTCCTGCAAAGTGGAACCAGTGTGTGTTGTTTTGTGTTTTTTAAATACTCTTTGCTTATTTTTCATCAGTAAGCATACTTTATCTTCTTTCTTACGTTTCTGTTTGCAAATTAACTAAAATTGAGACATCAGGTAATTCAATACACTGCTTCTGTTCTTGTTTCTCTATTTCATTCCCAGGGAAAGTTTTTGGACTACAAATGTTTAAGCTTAAGACAATTAGAAAATTCCTATACCAGTATTACAACTTGACAAGAATGTGCATACATTCTTATCTCTTCTCTTAGCTTTATTTATGGTATCTTAGGAGGATTAAAATAGTGTTTTGTGTTAAGACTGTGGGTAGGAATAATTAGTGACACTGTATTTAACTTCCTATGCTCAGTAAGGTTAGGAAGATATGTATTAATTTTCTTTTCCGCTCTGTTCTTGCATCAGTTTACTAATTGCATGTGATTAATTTCATAGAGGAAACATCCTAGTATCTCAGTTGCCAGAAGAGTCAAATTAATGAGCTTTATGAAGCAATTTAGGGTGTTTTTACCCTCCGTAAATTAAAACCTAGCATCCCCTCTGGGTTTCATTACTCCCCATGGGCATTGAAGCACCACAAATTTCATAGCTTAAAACTTGTGAAGTTTGTCTGACTTCAGGTTTCGTTTTCAGAGGGCCCATTTTAAGCATGCAGTTTCAGTCAGCGTTCCCTCACTTGTTCTGCGATGGCTTCGTGTGGTTTTGCAATGCCACCACAGGAAGAACCTGACTTCCATGTTTTGCCTCTGTAGAAACGTGGTGATTGCATGAAGTAGCTTCAGGAAAGTCAAGCAGAAATACCCATTTAGGGATGCTGGGAAGCTGCAAGCTCCGTTTCCAGAACAGTGCTATTAAGTTTGGTTAGTCTCCAAGTGCTCAGATTCCAGACCAGTTACAGTCCTCGGATGGAACATACAGAATTGTGTAGGTTTATCTCCAAACAAGTCACTTTTCCATAGACATGGATCATTCAGTGGTAGGTTCACTATAGACCAGAACATTATGTAGAGTGATGTGGTTTTCTAGGAAGGAGCAGTGCCCAACTTTGTCAAATACTCTAAAATGCTGCCACAGTGTTTTGTTGGAGAATGCAAGAGATGTATTGGGTTTTGATGACAAATACTGTCAGGTGTCACCAATGCAGCCATTCTGCTTGCATTAATAAAGCCATTTAAATAGATAACAACAACAAAAAAACCCACCCAACTTCAAAAGCCACAAACCAAGCCAGCTTTGCCTTAGGTTGCTGCTGCATCCATCTGTATGATATACTCTTAACCTTTCAGGAGGCTTTGGAAGTTTTAGATTGTCTCATCTTCCATATCCTAGTGGTGGCAGCAGAGCTCTTACATGAAAAATCCTTCAAAATATGTTACTGTGACCTTTTTAATACTTACAGTATCAAACTGGGAGCAACTTGAAGAGGCATGCAGATTGCACCTATTGACTTTCTGAAAACAAGCCAAAAAAAAACTGTAAAAATTACCTGATAAAATGCGTTCTGGCAGCATACATAATTCATAAGGGGGAGGGGGGAATAAAAGGCTCTGTGAGTTTTGTATCCTGGCATTTTGCTTCACTTGGTCCCATCTCGTTCACAACAGAATTCTGTCGGAGTTACCAAGTGTTGAGCATGGTGCTGTCTTCCAGTTCTTCCTGTTATGGGATGTGTTTCCATGGATCACTGGGAACTGCAGCCTGTGTGCTAGTGAAGGCACTGACGTGTGTGGTCTTCCTAAATTCCTGTGTTAGATGGAGTTTTAACCCTGAAAAAGGTTATGGGTAATGTTTTAAAAGAATCTCTCTGTGTATTTTTTCATCACTACTGATGCAGTTGCAAATATTTTCTTTATCCATAGAAACATTCCTGAATTCTAAATTCTTAAAAAAAAAAATCTGGAAGCTTGCTCCACAGACTGTGGAGTATACAAAGAGAGATGCAGTACTTCCAGACTGATATTTCAGTGCAATCATTCATTACTTTATGAGTTAGCTGCAGGCGCTTGCTTACCTTTCTGTCTCCATGCTGTGAGGTTTTTGCATGGTTTTACTGCATACTTTCCTCTTTAAAACAGAGTATCTATGAAGTTGAGGACTGCAGAAGTTACTTCAGGTTGAGTCTCTCCAAGTAGCTTCCTTTTCTTCAGTTTCTAGGTCTGACAGTCAAAGCTGGAGCTTTCCAGGTGGAAATCAAATGCATTGTTCTAATTCATTCTGCTCTCAGATTTTCATTTCACTAAAGGTAGCAGTTTTTAAATGCCTGTTATGAACAGTGTTACTACTTTAATATCTTGCTTTTTCCACCCTCAGGAGTTTCAGTTCTGAACCCAGAATGCTGCAGCAGCTCCTGCTGCTCCTCAGCACACACCTCCTTGTGCCTGGCTCACCACGACCCAGCTGCCTGGTTAAGCCAGGCCTCCCTAGTGCTCATCAGCTTTGTCTGAAATGCTTGTTTTGACTTTGCTGTAAAATTATCTCGGGTGATTGAGCTGAAAAAAAAAAATCTACGTATTGTGATTGCCTAATTGGTTCTAAAAGTCAAGCTGTTTCTTCTGCAATTATCTCCAACAAACTATAACTGGAAATTGGTCAGTGACTGATTTATGAACCATAAAAATAATCAAGGCACTGCTGTGTAACTCTGACTCTGCAGGGCAGAGCGTGATAGTGTTAAAAACAGTATTTTAAAATGTCTGATGAATGTCCACAAGGAGAATTTGGGTGGGTTCCCTGTTCAGATGGAGCTACAGTGAGTTTCGGATAACTGGAGGACTATTTTCAGTAGGATTTTCTTGTTTACTGCTCAAATTTTCATACTTTTCAGTTCTTACCATGCTTTAAAGTGTTGTTTTTGTCATATTTTATTTCTGTCAGTAGACAGGAACAGGAGTGGGAATTCTCAAGGTTCCCTCAAACTATAGCTGTGCAAACAGTTTCTTACAGCAACCTGCAGGAAAATGGTATGTTTTCCAGGAATTCATTTCTCATATCTTCAGATAGCTGCTTTTGTTACTAAATAATCTAATCTTAAGGTCTTAAAGGCTTCAAGAATCATTTACAATAAACTGTCATTAATTGAAGTTTATTCATAAGAGGCTTACTTATTTAATTAGCGTTTATGAGTAAATGGGAAAATATCTCCTATTTGTTGTATTGGTTTTGCTTTTGTCCATGGGCAGTAAAGATACTTTGTTTGAAGTCATGCAAATGACAACCTATAATCTCGTGGAGAAATAAATGAGAGGAACTTCACTTAATATTTCCATTTACCACCCTTTAAGCAAGAAGCTGTGTAGTTCTTAAAAGCTTTGGTGTGAGCACAAAACTTTCATTCATTGTCTTAATGAAAATGGGTGGTCTGCTGTTAGGATTTTATGTAATTAGTGTAGAGGAGTATTTTCAGCAGACAATAACTGTCAGTGTCTTCAAGATGAAGGGAAGAAGAGTTAGCCTGTATGTTCTGTGCCATTCTAATTTAATTCTTGCTGCTGATGGTACCTCTTTCTCAGCCAGCATTATGGTAATGCTGTTTGCTGTAATGGCAGTGGAATCACTCCTGATTTGAGTTCCACTATTGATTTATTCAAATCCCACCTCGTAATGTGTCTGCCAGCTGTGTGCAAAAATCTCCAAGCACATGCTTGTAGAGGCTGCATTCCTAGATGGAATGTGTTTATCCCCAACTCTAGCACAGCCAGTAGCTGATTTCCCTTGCACCAGAACTGCTCTGCGACCTCAGTCAGCACACTGAAAGAAGGACGTGGGATTCTGCTCCATAATTCAGTTTGAAACTGACCACCACCAGGTCCATCAGTTCCACACAGCTCAGACCCCATGCTGCTCTGGT